TCCGTCTCCATGAATCGACTATTCCAGGTGCCTCCTATAAGTGGACTCACACAGCAAATTTGTCATTTTGTGACAGGCTTATTTCCCTTAGCGTAATGTCCTCAAGGCTCATCCGTGTGATGGCGTGTGTCAGAATTGCCTTGCATTTTAAGGCTAAGTAATATTCCATTGTATATCCATACCACATTTTGCTTATCCATTCATCCGTCAGTGGATACTTGAGTTGTTTCCATAGTTTGGCTCTTGTGAATGATGTTGCTAGGAACACGGGTGTGCAAGTATCTATTTGAGTCCCTGCTTTGAGTTCTTTTAAGTGTATACCCAGGCATGGAATTACCTGATCATACAGTACTTCTACATTTAATTTTTTAAGGGACTTTTTAAAAAGATTTTATTTATTTACTTGAGAAAGAGAGAGAGAACGCAAGTGGGTAAGCATGAGCGGGGGGAGGGGCAGAGAGAGAGAGGGAGAAGCAGGTTCCCCACTGAGCAGGGAGCCCGATGCCGGACTCGATCCCAGGACCCTGGGACCATGACCCGAGCCGAAGGCAGATGGCCAACTGACTGAGCCACCCAGGGGCCCCGAGGAATTTTTTTTTTTTTTCTTAACCAGTGTTGTCCTTGAGGTATGAGAAGTGGATGTGATCTGGGCTGACTGGGACTTTTTCATCCCACTTGGCAGGGATGGGGGCGGCTCCCTTTTTTCCTTGCATCAAAGACTAGATTTTAGATTTGCAGAGCGCTGGGATTGTAGCCGCTAAGCCGACTGGCATGGGGAGGAGGAGGTTTTGGATTTCACCGTGCACGTCCCTCTTCCACGCTAAGCCAGCCGCTGCCTGCCGGCTCTGGATGGGCCTCATTCTCCCCCCACCCCCACCCTCCTCCCTGCTGGTTAGCTGCTCTGTAGATGAGCCCTCATTCCCTGAGCCTCTTGTCGCTGTGGGATCGCAGGCGCACCCCCTCTGAAACCAGTAGTTGCTTTCAGCTTTGGGTAGAACTTTGCAGGAAGCACCAGGCTTAACTCGGCCACCAGGTGCCCAGTCCTTCGAGGCAATGAGACCCAGAGAGGTTTTCCCACCGGATATTCCTGGTAGAAGAGGGGAGAGCAAGGCCCCTCTCCCACTTTGCTCTGGTTCTGGGAAAATGGCAGCTCCCAAAGCCCCCCCAGGAATATACCTGATGCTTGAGGAGGTATAGGGACCCCAGGAGAGAAAAACTGCAGTGTGAGAGAAAGACAGGTCCCTGTGTGCCGCTTAGGAAAGGAGGCTTTTCTCCTCGCCTGTCACATTTGCACTGGAGCAGGCTGGGGGTTCTGGATTAGCTGGGACAATGGGCTGAAGCCCCCGGTGGAATGTAGCCCAGCAGTGACCAGCCATCCGGAACCCAGACTGCAGAGCGTCAATTCCTCAGACATCAGTTTGGGGAGATGTGTCAGAGTGGGAAGCGGCTGGGTTCTGAGTTGTCCTGATCCTCATAGTTACCCCGTTGGGTCCAGCTGTGGAATCTAGTTTCTCAGTCTCACCTGGTCGAGGTGAAGTGTCCACATCACAGTCAATGGCCCCACACAACCCTGGCCGGCAAACCTTCACTAGGCAGTTGGTTTTGCATGGGGTTTTAATCAGGATGTTGCTAAGCTAGCACTTTGTTTTGCCAGTGTGGAGTCTTGCAGTATTTGGAGTGAGCCCTGGGCCCCCCGAGTCTGACGCTAAAGTTCTTACTTGGGGCATCACTTGGTATTAATTTGACCTGGGACACGAGCTCAGTGTAGTCATAGGCATGAAGAGTTTAAAGTTTCTTAGAGAAGCTGTGTGGGCAGTGAAAATTCTGAGCTAAGGTAAAAGCCAGGTCCAGAGGAGAAGTGGGAAGCAGAGGAAGGAAGCTGTTGAAGGAGGTGAGGTCAGGAGGTAGGCAGGGCATGGCTGGCTGACCTTCATAATGACATAATGGAGCCAGCCTCCATCCATTTAGTTTAGGCCACACACCTGTTTATAAAGTCAGGAAAACGGAGACACGGACACCTTAAGTGACCTGCACTAATTCTCACAGGTCTGTAGCAACCTGGACAGGACCAGAGCCTCACTTCTGGGAAATTCACACCACAGCCTGTAGAACCGGCCCACCTGCCCCGCGTGTGTCACCCCCCCGGAGGACATGTCCTGGGTTGCAGAAATAAGAGTAAAGACCCCTGGGGCCCAGGGGGATCATTCAGGCTACCTGTGAGGAAGGCATCTGGCAGCCAAAGTCTTCTGTCCAGGGCCCGGACTGCCCTTGGAAGCAGCTCCCACGAAGGGCAAGTTTTCAGTAGGGGCTGCTATGATATAAGGTTCATATCATGGATGTTGAGTGAACAGGAAGTCCTCTGTGTTCACTTTGGTTTAAAAAAAAAAAATCCGGGGCCCCTGGGTGGCTCAGTTGTTAAACGTCTGCCTTCGGCTCGGGTCATGATCCCAGGGTCCTGGGATCAAGCCCTGCATAGGGCTCCCTGCTCCGCGGGGAAGCCTGCTTCTCCCTCTCCCACTCCCCCTGCTTGTGTTCCCTCTCTCGCTGTGTCTCTCTCTGTCAACTAAATTAAAAAATAAATCTTTAAAAAAAAAAAAAATCTGTGATTGCCCCAAAAGGAAGTGGATGCTGAAGTCAGACCTGTTTTGGGGGTGGAGTGTGGGGCTAGAGTTCTGTATGAACAGGGTTTGTGCTTTTTAATACATTTTAACCCTCCCCATCTGTCCTCAGGGATGCTAGGCAAGAGCTAGTTGAATGCCTTTACAGATGCCTAGGAGAAGAGACAGAACTTGGCCTTGGCTCCTGACTGTCCTGGTAGGACAGTACAAACCCCAGCAGGGCTGAGCATTGATAGCCCACGTGGTGATGGTACCAAGAGCCCCCAAGGTAGCCCATGGATTAGGGAGACCAGGGGACCTCAGTTCAGCTTGTTAGGGGACAGGGTAGGAGCCCCCCCAGCGCTGAGGGTCCCCCAGCCTGTCTGCTAGCCTCTGCTGGGGCCCTCCTGCGGACACACACAGCAGTAGAGCGCGGCTGCACCTGGACGGGGACAGCAGGGACGCAGTGTGGGTCAGCAGGACAGCGCGGCGCCGGGCGTCAGCTCCTGCTAGCGCAGCCGGCTCAGCCCTGCTCCAGCCGGAACCGCTGGGAAGCCTTTGCAGTCACCAGGGCCCAGACCTCCCTGAGTGTCTCATTCCATGGGTCTCTCTCGTTTTTGAAGCTCCCCAGGTGGCACTAACATGTAGCCAGGGCTAAGGACACCTGCGATAGGGCATGTGACCTGCTGGCCTCTGGACGTGGAGGATGTGGGAGAGGCAGAGGTATGAGGAAGCTGGGATCTGGGTGGATAAGTCGCACTGGGCGCTGGCAGCCCTCAGAGCCGGATGTGGTGAGCACCTGGTCACTCCAGCCACGGCACCTCTCGGCTGCCACGTGGAAAGAACTGGAAACAGTCCCCCTCTAGAATTGCTGGGTTGCCTCTGGAAGCCTGTGCCTCCCTGGCCCAGGGGGTACGGGTGCCACCAGCAACTGGAGCTTGAGCCCCAGACTGGGTATGCTTGGTGGCGGAAGTTGTTGGAAACCGGTACATAAACACTGCAGAGGCCACCTGTGGTGGTGACATTTGGACAAGGCTGGTTGCTGGTGAGTCGTGGTGAAGGTGAGGTAACCCAATCGAGATGGCCTCTCGGAAATCCCATGGGCCGTGAAGGCGCCCTTTGGAAGCAGTTAAGAAGAGACCCTCACACGAGGCTTGGAGCAGACTGGGCCCTTGTGGGTTAATGTCTTGGTGAGGATCCACTGAATTAGAACAGTTCTGAAAACAGAGCTACAAAAGGCAGATGAGGGACGTCTGGGTGGCTCAGTTGGTTAAGCATCTGCCTTCGGCTCAGGTCATGATCCCAGGGTCTTGGGATTGAATCCCAGATCAGGCTCCCTGCTCAGTGAGGAGCCTGCTTCTCCCTCTCCCACTGCCGCTCATACTCTCTCTATCTCAAATAAATATCTTTTTAAAAAAATTAAAAAGAAAGTAAAGAAAAGAAAGGCAGGCTAAGGGGTATGGGTTTTGTGATTTAACCAGGGAGGAAGGGCAACTGTCTTCAGGTGCCTTTAGGATGGAGGGGTTCTTCTCTATAACTAGATTGCCCCGAACAGCAGGGAGCTGGCTATAGGGTAGGCCACTCTGTCCTCACAGGGATACTCAGACTGGAGTAAAGGTGGTCTGGGATTTTTTTTTTTTTTTTAAGATTTTATTGATTTTTTTGACAGAGAGAGACAACAGTGAGAGAGGGAACACAAGCAGGGGGAGAGGGAGAGGGAGAAGCAGGCTTCCTGCAGAGCAGGGAGCCCGATGTGGGGCTCGATCCCAGGACCCTGGGATCACAACCTGAGCCGAAGGCAGACGCTTAACGACTGAGCCACCCAGGCGCCCCTGTGGTCTGGGATTTTGCCAGACCAGATGGGAAGTGGGCTGAGAGTCAGCCAAGGAACCAGGGTGGAGTGAGAGGAAGGGGCTACGGTGCCCTTTCCCTGTGTTGGGCCTGGCAGGCCTGAGGCACTGCTCACGGTGGCCGGGGCTTACGCCTGAACTGGCATCATCTGTGCTCCTTGCCCCATCAGATCCCCATGGACAGGTGCACAAGGACCATCCCTGATAGCAAGATGCTAGCTAGCATTTGGGGACCATATTTCTGTAGCGGCTCAGGCCCACCCCCAGGACAAGCACAGATGTGCCCCAGACAGTGTCCTTGCAAGCCCAGTCTCCATCTGGGGAGTGTGCCACTCTTTTGGCCTTACCTCGCCCTGTGGTCTTTGCTTAGCTGGTTGTGAAGGTGAGAACCAGGTGAGGTCAGCCTACCTGAGGTCCTTGTTCAACACCTTTGGGTAACAGACATCATCAGCCAAGTGCCTGCCGGGACAGGTGGGGTGTGGACCCTCCCAGGCGGCTGGCCCTCCAGCCCCCTCTCCCTGTCTCTAACACAGCTGCTTCTCTACACACACAGATGCGTCGTTTGGAACGCCACCTGGGTACGGCTGTGCTGCAGACCGGGCTGAGGAGCAGCGCCGGCACCAGGACGGGCTGCCCTACATCGATGACTCGCCCTCCTCCTCACCCCACCTTGGCAGCAAGGGCAGGGGCAGCCGGGATGCTCTGGCCTCGGGAGCCCCGGAGTCCACCAAAGCGGTGAGTCCCGGGGTGGTAGGGCCAGGTGTGAAAGGGGGCTTGGGGTTGGCTCCAGCCTGCTGTCGCTTTCCTGAAGGCGCCCTGAAGCACATCCACTCTCTCAGGGGTAAGTAGCAAGTAGGTGATACCAGGAGCAACCACTAGTTGAAGTCACCAAAACGCCTTTGTCATTCCCCCATCTGGTGCACCTGCTGGTCTGGAGACAGCCTTCTAGGTGCTTGGAGCAGGGAGATGATGGAACTGCCTGCTGAGCGTGGAGGAGGCAGGTAGCACATGCTGAGGCTGAGAATGCCACCACCAGCCTACCAGCTGGACATGGTGGCGGCCCCCGCAGTGGTGCTGAGGGGCGGAGGAGGGGGCAGCGTCTGGTCTTCTGTCCCTGCATTGCACGCAGTGCACTTGCTCCTTCTTACCAGAAGGGGTGCTGCTGATGACTCCATCCATTTGACCAGGGTCTTCCCCTTGAGGTCTCATTGTCATTAACAATCCTGCTGTCTCCCCTCCACTTTGGAGCATGACAGATACCTTTCCTCTTTTGCTTGTTTCTGGTGATGTTCCCTCCAGGTTTAAAAACAAGAGAGGTATCTGCTTTTCTCCATTGTTGGTAGGAAGTGCGGGAAGCGTATCTTTTCACTGCAGTTTCTTCTCTGCTGGCCTGGTGCCTTCGCTGCAGGACTGCTTCTTATTTATGCTTTTGTGATTTCTAAAGACCCTGGTACTGGGTAGGCTTCTCGTTCTGAAATGTGAGGTTGGGAGGGAAGCCCGTGTATAACACATACACATACCTGCCTCATGCAACTTTTTTTTTTTTTTAAGATTTTATTTATTTGAGAGCTAGAGAGAGAGAAAGCACAAGTGGTGGGAGGGGCAGAGGGAGAGCAAGAAGCAGACTCCCCGCTGAGGGGGGAGCTCGATCCTGGGACCCTGAGATCATGACCTGAGCCCAAGGCAGACGCTTAACTGACTGAGCCACCTAGGCGTCCCCCTCGTGCAGTTTTTTTTCCAACATCTGGTTTTGCTGTTTTACAGATTAGGAAACAGGTTCAGAGAGGTGAAGTTACTTGCTCACAGCCACACAGCTCCCAGATTTGAAGCCTTCCTGAGTCCTCAGATGGCAGTCTTTTAACTACCTTGCCTTTCTCGGTGCACTACCTTGCTTCCTGCTTCACAAGCATGTTGTGGTACAGATGGGGATCTTTCTGGTCCTGAATAAGTAGGCTGAGGCCTGAACTTGGGACAGGTCTGCTCCAGGAGCCTGATCCATCCTCCTGTGCAGGAGCCCCCCAGCTCAGGTCCTTATGCAGAGGCCAGCCCCTGGCCCTCTGCTGGCTGGGCTCCGAGACGATGGCCAGCCCTGTTGCCAGTGAAGGCAGGGCCCCTGCCCAGAGTGAAAGCGTCCTTTGTCCAGCACACCGGCTGCCAGCTCCCAGCTGGGAGCAGCCCACCCCTTTGCAGCCGGGGTTTTATACCCTGGTCACCCTGGTTCCCCCAGGTTGGGGCTGGGGGTAAAGAGCGTTTCCGGCCATCCATAGTCCTGCCACTCAGTTCCAGCTCCCGCCCTCGCGGGCCTGGTGGTGGTTCTGTTCCCCTGGGTCCCTCTGTCAGCCTTTACCCCCTTGTCGGGCCCAGTTTGTTTTTATCTGCCCTTTCGGCCTCAGGTCTTTGTGGCTTGTTCCCTTCGCTGCCCCCTGCCCCCTCCCCAGCAGAAGCAGGAGGCGTGCCTTCCAGCTGGCTGCCTCCTTTTTTCCAGTTGCCCTTCTCCTCTGGCTTCCTCTCCACCAAGATCTCCCTACCACCATGGCCCTGACTGGATTCACGTGCCCTTTCCAGAACTGGCACGTGCACAAAGCAGGGTTATAAATAGCCCTGGCCCCAGCCCCGCCCTTTGTCCCCTCATCTTCTGCATTTCTTTCCCGCCCTCTCCTTTAAGATGCAGTTGGCTGCTTCTGAGCCGACCCTGTCAGCCCCCAGCCCCCAGCCCAGCACATTCCCCGGGCCAGACGGTCCCCGGAGCTGGCCGCGCCCTTCGGAACAGGGAGGGCTGGAGTTGGCGCCATCATGCCTGCACTCTTTTTTCCTCCCAGCTTTCCAGATTGTGTCGGTGGGAATGAGCAGCACCGCCACCCACGTGAGCACCGGCATCTCGTGCTGGGTGGGGCTCTGCCGTGTCCCGGTGCTCACAGTAGCGGGATTGTTCCTCAGGACACGGCAGGGCTGGGTGGGTGGCTGCACCTCCCCAGGGAGCCTGCTGTGCCCTTCACCTTTACATCTTCCCTCGCTTGGGGCACAAATGGGACCTGGACACAGTGGGAAGCACGTTCAGGGTCAGCCGAGAGCTGCTTCTCCAGCACGTGGCCACCATTCCTGGTGTGACCTCAGTGGGCTGAGAGGAGAGGAGGCGTCAGGGTCCCCTACCCTGCATGTCTGTGCGCCGCATGCCGTAGACTTGCTGACCGTGGTAGCACCCCAGGCCCTGGAACAGGCTAAGCTGACAGTGCTGGATCCTGGCACCGGCTTGTCACACAGACAGGGTTTCCAGAAGGAACGCTCAGAGCTTTGCAAAGACACAGCCCAGGGCCCAGTAGGGCCCAACCAGGAGTTCTAGATGCATTCGTTGGTTGGTCTGTTCATTGTGTCTTCACGGAGCACCTGTGTGTTCCAGGCACTATGCTGGCACAGGAAGTTTCGAGATCAGGTACAGCATGACCTGGAGCTTTCTGCCTGTGGAGCCGCTGCCCAGCGTGCCCTCGGGGAGAGGGGGTTCTGTGTGGGGTGGGGCCTGAGTGTTCTTTCCCTGGAGTGATGCTTAACCATGATTGTGGTGGCCGCTCCCTACACATGCATGAGTACACATACACACTTGGGCGTGCACACATGTACACACATATGCATGCACCTAGCTCATGCACACTAAGAGATCCTCAGAGCAAAGTGGTGGTTCAGGAAGACTTTTTGGATGGTCCCAGTGGGCAGTGAGGATGTGGTACAAGCCTCAGGGACCCAGAAAGCAGAAGCAGATGGGACATGGGGATCGGGCCTTCCTTCCCCAGTTTACACCCAGGCAGCTGATGCTCAGAGCAGGAGGGCAGTTGCCTAAGACCGTGGCACTTACCGGGCAGGCCTGGCTCCGTGGCCCTTTCCCCCAGCTCCTGGCCCTGGGTGCTTCCTGCTGGACCAGCAATCTATACCACAGAGTGCCTCCCTTCTGCCGGTCCAGGGAAGTGGAAAGAGTAGCAGGGTCAGGGGCACACAGAGGGGACATGCTTGGGGGTCCTGATTCTAGGTTTTGTAGAGACACCATGAGGCCTGAGCTGGCTTTAGGTCCTTTCTGGAACCCGGTGGTTCTCACATAGGGGTGACTTGGCCCCAGAGGACATGTAGCAACATCTGCAGACATTTGTGGCTGTCCCAGCCAGGGGTAGGAGGGGGTGTTGCTCCTGGCATCTGTTGGGTGGAGACCAGAAATGCTGCTCAAGGCCCCCGGCATCCAAGAGAATCCTCCAGCCCTAGATGTCAGCAGTGTCGAGGGCCAGGAGTCTGCCCCAGATCAGTGATCTCCCCTGAGAGTGGTTCGGGAAAGTGGACCTCAGGGATAGCCCTCTGGTTCTACACCCCAGGGCTGCCACAGTGTGGTTGCTCATGTTCACCCACAGGTGGGAAGCCAGTGGCAGAATGGGCCGGGGTGTTACATCGCTTTCCTCTGTGGACTATAGTGGGGCCCATGGGCACACGGGCGGGCCATGGGCACAGCCAATCTTGGATACTGATTCCCTCGCTGGTGGCCAGGGAGCACGTGGGGGGCGTGGCCAGGGAGTCACACCGCAGATTTCATCACCCTTGGCATCAGCATTTGTGTTAGTTTACGGGGCAGCTGTAACCACAGACCAGGGGGCGGCCTTGCCCTGACTGCTCAGCTTCACGCCACCCGTTTCCCATTGTCAGACCAAGGGTGGCCCTTGGCTTTGCTGGATGACCCCCCCCAGAATTTACAGTGGCCGTGAGCAAGTGGTTGACTTGGCAAGGCTCCTGTGCCCCCCTTTATTTCCACACGGAGCCTTCCCCAGAGGCTTGGCCTCAGGTTGATAATAAGCAGGCCTTCCTCTCTGAGAGGGGCCACCTCAGGCGTCATCCCCCAGGTCCGACCTTTGTCTTTTTCTCCTGCAGAGTGAGCTGGACTTGGAAAAGGGCTTGGAGATGAGGAAATGGGTCCTGTCTGGAATCCTGGCTAGCGAAGAGACTTACCTGAGCCACCTGGAGGCACTGCTGCTGGTGAGGAGGGGGTAGGGGCTGAGCCGGGCAGGGGCACTCTGCTCCCAGGAGGGTCCCAGGTCCCAGGACAGCAGTCCAAAGGCAGCCTGCCCTCCCTGGAGGGTCATTCCACCTCTGTAGAAGCTGGACCTCCCCATGGGGTGGTGGACACGAGCGTAAGATGGGTGCCAAACCAAGCTGGCTTTAAATTTTTATTTTTAATGGAACTTAAAAAAAAAAGCACGTATGTTACGTGACCGTGATCTTCTGTGGTCGGGCCACGCGCCTGAAAAATGGCGAGCCCTCTCATCCGTGCTGCTCGCACCTGTCGCCTGTGCCTCTTCCAGCCCATGAAGCCTTTGAAGGCTGCGGCCACCACCTCTCAGCCGGTGCTGACAAGCCAGCAGATCGAGACCATCTTCTTCAAGGTGCCTGAGCTCTACGAGATCCACAAGGACTTCTATGACGGTCTCTTCCCCCGCGTACAGCAGTGGAGTCACCAGCAGCGAGTGGGGGATCTCTTCCAGAAGCTGGTGAGTGACTCAGAGCAGGTGCACGGCAGCCTCCCAGGAGTTTGTGGCTCTGCAGGGGTCAGGCCTCTCCCTTCACCTGCCGGCGTGTGTCACCAAGGGCTCTGGGACACGGAGCCCTTATTTTAAGTAGGATCCACGCCCAGCGTGGGGCTTGAACTCATGACCCCAAGATCAAGAGTCACATGCTGTACTGACTGAGCCGGCCAGGTGCCCCTGGAGAATTTTTTTTTTTTTTTTAAAGTGGCGTGGGGAGGAGAGACATGGTCAGTAAAAATCAAGGTAGTGGGAAAAGTGCCCCTGGAGCCTGAAGCAGGGCTCTGGCGGGGGGACAAGCCATTGTGTGGCCCTTGGCTCCTTCCAGCAGCTGTTTTCAGAACCTGGAGGCATACTTCACGCCGACTTTGACAGTGACACCCTCGTGCCTTGTAGGAATCAAGACTGGTTCTTATGGGCAGGTGGTTTGTGACTGCAGAGCGCGGACCCAGGCACAGCTTTGCAATGAGAGGCGGTCTGGCTCCCAAGTGGTGGGGTGCGAGGGGGCCCCCAGGTGCCCATCTCACCTGAGCTGAGGCAGCCGTATAAGGCGGGTCTTGTCCTCACCACTGTGGGGGTGAGAAGATTGAGGCACTGTGGGTCACTTGCTGGGACTGTAATCTTGGCTTATCTCCAGGAGGAATGCTTTTCCTGCTGCCTTCAGGGGCCATAAAACTGAAGGGCACAGGTGATGCTGGCTGGATGACAGAATAAGAATTTCTGAAAGGCTTATTGAGCCTGTACTGAGCAGGAATCTTTTTGGCAGAGGTGGCTGTGGGTCCCAGTTCAGGTCCCAGAGGCGGAAGCACCCTCTCTGGATAGAAGGAGCCCACTGTGAAGGCAGGTGAGGGGCCTCTGTGGCCCTTTGCTGACCACAGGACCTAAGAGGAGCCAAGGATATGGCTTTTAAAAACGTCAGTGGGACCAATAAAACCTAGCAATCATATGAAAGAGGTTGGCAGGCCCCTGGGCACTGGCCGGGCCACATCTGGGACAGGGATTGGCTCAAAGTGCTTCTTTAACCAAGATGTGGGTCAGGTAAAACTTGTCCAACAGGAGGAAACATTTAAGGCACCCGCAGGAGGAAGGAGAAAACTCAGAAGAGAGCTGTCCGATCGACGTCTGTCTTCCAACATGTGTGGAAAGGAGCCCCTGCCTCCTTTGCGGGTCTAAAGTGTGGAGCCGGTCAGTCTCTCCAAGTGGAGGCTGTGGGAGAGGGGCGTCTGGGTAGGAGAGCCCAGGAGCTGTCCTGGGAGTGTCACTGAAGGCAGGTGCCGGGCAGGCCCCTGTGACGGAGGTTGTACGTCTGAGCATCCATAACCTGTGTCCAGGTGGTCCGGGCCCCCTGGGCACATGCTTTTGCCCTGGAGCCTGCCCCCTCCCAAGGGAAACCAGTCCTCCAGGGGTAGAGGTGGCCCAAGGTCGCAGGCTCCTTCCGAATACACAGAGCACAGCGCCCTGGGCTGCCCAGACTCCCAGCTGGCCCAGACCCAGTCCTTGCCTTGGCTCACACCTGGGCTTGAGCGTTCCGCTCCAAGGTGTGGCCTTCCTCTTGGCGGTCCCCTCTCTCCACTGCCCTGGGCTGCAGACACCTTGGACTCCAGGCTGGAGCGAAGATCCAAGAAACGTATGAAACTTTTCACTTTTTTTATTCAGATTCCCGCCAAGCGAGAAGTAGGAGACTGTGTTGGTACAGACCCCTCATCTTTGAAGTGCCCCCTCCCCCGTTTCTCCCTGTGTGAAGTGTCAGCAGGTTTAAACCTAGTAGATTTGGCTCAGCCTGCAGCCCTTCTGAGAACTGGAGAATCATGTTGTTGAGAAGAAACTGCACCCAACGCTCTTCCCCAAATAACATTCTGACATCACTCAGAAACTTCACTTTCAAATTTTCATAGTCTGATGAACACCAGAATTTGGGAAGTTTCCTCTGGGTTCCCCGGTGTCCTTCAGCTACCTTTGTGGGTCAGACGCTGCAGCAGGACTAGGGAGAGAGGTGGGGCCGCCTCGGGAAGTCGTGCCCCGGGAACCATGTGGAGAGTGTTCATGTGCGCCGCCCAGCTGGGTGCTGGGGCTCCCCCGTCCCTTTCTGACAGCGCAGCGAGGTTGCCCCAGTGTCACCCCAGCCGTCGCACCTCCCTTTCCCCCAGGGTTTGTGAGCCGCGTCTGGTAGCTTGCCTCCCCTTCTTGCAGGAACGTACGGGTTACGTGCTGCTTCTGGGGGTCTGTTCCTGGCTGAAATTTTGTCAGGCTGCTCTTTTGTTTTTCTAAATATTTCAGACTTCCAGAGAGGTGCACAAATAGTTCAAGAACTCCCATGTGCCAGAGCCACCACTTGTAACATTTTGCCAAATTTGTTTTATCTTTTCCTCTCTCATTTTTATATATGTGTGCGCATGCGTGCACACATATGCGCACTGAGTAGTTTGAAAATAACTTGCAGATAGATCTGCCCTTTTACCCCAAATACTTAATTGTGTATTTGCTAAAGACAAAGACAAGCTCTTCCATAACCGCATCGTACAATGATCACATTCAGGAACTTTCACAGTGGTGAGGCACTGTTACCTTATACGCAGTCCATATGCAAACTTCTCCCAAGTTAGCCATTGGGACATTGAATATAGCCAAAGAATATTCTTTTTTTTTTTTAAGATTTATCTATTGGGGTGCCTGGGTGGCTCAGTCATTAAGCGTCTGCCTTCAGCTCAGGTCATGGTCGCACAGTCCTGGGATCGAGCCCCACTTCGGGCTCCCTGCTCGGCGGGAAGCCTGCTTCTCTCCCACTCCCCCTGCTTGTGTTCTCTCTCTGTAAAATAAATAAAATCTTAAAAAAAAAAAAAAGATTATTTAAGAGAGAGAGCATGAGTGGGAGGGGCAGAGGGAGAGAAAAATCTCAGGCAGACTCCACACTTGAGCGCAGAGCCCGACACGGGGCTCAGTCTCACGACCCTGAGATCATGACCTGAGCCGAAATCAGGAGTCAGATGCTTAACAGACTGAGCCACCCAGGCATCCCCATCATGTTCTTTATAGCCACCTTCATTGTCTGATTCAGTTTCCAATCCGAGGTCACAAGATGGACTCGGTTTTCACATCTCTTTAGTCTTCTTCAGTCTGTACCAGTTCCTTGGCCTGTGCTTGTCTTCCACGGCCTTGACATTTTTTTGAAGGGTGCTGGCCAGTTTGGGCTTGTCTGATGTTTCCTCAGGAGTAGATTCAGGTTCTGCGTTTCTGGTGAAAACAAAAACCATAGCAGTGATGCCGTGTCCTCAGTGCATTGTATCAGGAGGCGCATGATCTCCACTGATCCATTATTGGTCCGGCTCTGTTTCGGATTGGCTAAAAATATGAGATTCGATTGCTTGGCACTTCGCAAAAGCCACGTGGAAGACGCGAGCTCCTTGGGGAAAGGGAGAAGAAGTAATGGAAGGGGTTCTCCTCTCTCGGACCTCATATATCAGTTTGCTAGGGCTGCTAGTCTGGGCGGCTTGAACAACGAATCTATTTCCTCACAGTTCTGGAGACTGGAAGTCCGAGATCAAGGTGCCGGCAGCGTTGGTCTCTCCTGAGGCCTCTCTCCTCGCAGGGGGCTGCAGCTTCCTTGTGTCTTCACGTGGGTCCCTCTGGGGGTCTGTGTCCTTACCTCTTACAAGTGCACTAGTCACGCTGGATTAGGACCCACCCTAACAACTTCATTTTAGCTTCATCACCTCTTATGCCCTATCTCTAAATACAGTCGCATTCTAAGGTGCCAGGAGTTAGGGTTTCAACACGGGAATTTCGAGGTGACGCATGTCAACAGTGATGTCCCCTCAGGGCTCCTGACCACATTATCTGAAGCAGCACATAGTTTTTAAGCCCTGCTCTGTTCTCAGACATCTGTATTACATGTTTGGTGACTTATTTATTGTATCTCTCCTGCTCCTGGCCCCACTGTGTCTGAGGGATCTGTAGCTGTGCTGACGGTTCCCAAAGCAGGTCTTCGTTGTGAGGTAGGCACTCACTGAGTAGCAGAGCATGGAGAAAAGGAAGTGCTCTAGGCCTGACCGTTGTCCCGATTGGTGTGTGGAGATGCGGTTGACTTGTCAGGGTGATCGGTGCAGTAGGGGCCAGGCAGGGCATCCATGCAGCCCCCAGAGGGAGCGGAGCCAGAGACCAGACTGTGCCAAGGGCGCCTGGCTTACCCAGCATCTGGGATTGTCATCTGAAGAAACGTAAAATTCAATATAAATGCAAATGCATATAGGAATAAAATTCAGATTCAGCACAGAACAAACACCAGGATCAGCTAAAGCTTTAGGCTTCCAGCCCCTGGTCGGCTGCAGTGGGAAATCCTGGCTAGTGGGTCACCGGGGTCCTCCTCTGCCCTCCCCGGGCCTGGCTTTGCTGGTACAAGATGAGGGCTGGTTTCCCCTTGGCTGCCTCTGAAGGTGACCTGGGGCCCAGAGGTGGTGGCGGCTGTGTGCCCCCCACACACACACACATCCCTGGAAGTTGTCACTCAGTTGGGTATCTGATCAGGAGGTTATGTGAAGACCCTCTATTAATACCTCTGGTTTTGGGGGCACCTGGGTGGCTCAGTTGGTTGAGCAACTGCCTTCGGCTCAGGTCATGATCCTGGAGTCCTGGGATCGAGTCCCGCATCGGACTCCCTGCTCAGCGGGGAGTCTGCTTCTCCCTCTGACCCTCCCCCTCTCATGTGCTCTTTCTCATTCTCTCTCAAATAAATGAAATCTTTAAAAAAAAAAAATACCTTTGGTTTGACAAAAGACAAAATGCCTCTCGCCTGCATCTGGCAGCCAACAGGTCTCCCACACACCAGGTGTGGAGTGTGATAGCTCTACCCCCTTGCCAGGTTTGGGCTGGGCTCATGCCTAGGCAGTGGGAGCCCCTCTTCTCCAAGGGCAGCTAGATTGCATGGTCCTCATGTGTCTGAAGGGATCGGGCAAGAGCGGAGCACTGTGGCCGCCCTAGGCTGGGGGCCGACCTCCCTGTCCACTATAGTCTCCTGCAGCCAGAATGAGAAGGTGCCACTCCATCCCATCCATGTTGACTCTTGTCTGCGTTCTCGGACAGCCTTGGATTTTAGCCACTGCTGGTGGCACTGTATATGAATAGGGTGGGAGGAATCAGCAGCTGTGCAAGGGAGTCATTACCTGCCCGGGGCTGTGAGTCACTTCTCAACGTGTCACTTGGAAGAGGGAAGCATGCTCAGGGCGTGGGGAGGGGAAGCAGGTGGGAGGCAACAGACCGCAAGGAAGAGCGGAGGTGACTGCAGCCCCCGTGCTGTCTGCTGCACCTGGGGTTTCTCCGGAGCTGGGCACAGAAGCCCATTTCTTGGAAAGACGGGGAGCAACGGCACCTGTCCTGCACCTGTCCCACACTCTCTCCCTTCCTCCCTGCAGGCCAGCCAGCTGGGTGTGTACCGAGCCTTTGTAGACAACTACGGAGTTGCCATGGAAACGGCTGAGAAGTGCTGTCAGGCCAACGCTCAGTTTGCAGAAATCTCTGAGGTACTCATGACACTGTTGAGACAGGTGCACCCCTCCACCTCCCCCGGGTGGGATGTGGGCCGGTAGTTGGTACATCATGACCTGGGAGAACAAGGTGCACCAATCCAAGTTCTGGTTGAAAATCTCCGCTCTGTTTCCAGATGCTTCTGGGTTGGTGCTGTCAGCCCTGTGCAGGGGACACAGGAGGAGCAGTCCCACAGCGACCTCCCCAAGGGCCAGGGCCCAGTTCTGGGGCTCCGCCGAGTGCCCCAGACAGACGCCCTCTTGCGCCATCTGTGTGCAGTAATGAGTGTCCGTAGTTCTATCTCATTAGCAGAGGTCTGGACGTGAGAGTGCTGAGGCTGACTAGGCACCCGGTCGCTAGAAAGCAGCCAGGGTGGTGTGCTAGGGACCTCTCTTGCCGGGGAAGCTGAGCGGCTAGTACAGGGGTGTGGAACTGAAGAAAGCTCCAGGCTGGAGCTCCACGAGGACTGAAACCTCAAGCCCCAGAGTGCTAGCAATGAGGGGCCCCTGCAGAGCACCTCGGATACAGAGAGGACAAGCAGGGCCACCCCTGGACCAGAACCTGCAGCACCCGCCTCTCCAGGCTCCTGGCAGGGGTTTTCCCCAGCCTTCAACATCCTGTTTCTGCCCTGTGCAGTTGGGTGACATTTTCCTCTTTCGGGGCCTGTCATCACTTGTGATGCCTCCAGCTTCTCAGAGCTCTGACTTGCCTTCCCTCCACCAAACAAGGATTCTGGGTGGAAAGATTCCATGAGAGAAATTAGCATACGAAAGACAATTGGAAACTAGACATACGGAGTGAGTGGGGTCTCCCTTGCTGAGAGATGGTCATACCCTGACTGTCATACCTGGCTTTGTTCTGGGGGCTTTGTGCCATTTTGTAATTTGTGATAAGAGGTGGGGTGTTGTGGGTGCTGATTGTCTCTCGTGGTGGTAATGGATGCCATGCTGCCCCTCCAGAGCCCGTGGAGGCATGCACTCCCTGCCTGGTGCTGCTGGTAACAGGCTACATGCACCCAGGGTTCTAGGCTGGCTCCAGACGTCCCTCCCTGTCTGCTCTGGCTTGCCTGGAGCAGTGGGCCATACCTTTCTTTAGCTCATTCACTTTAACAACCTCCCCCACCCCTAACAGCTGGGATGTTGGTGCAGAATCCAGGTCACCTTGATGAAGTAGAGACCTAATCCTTTAAGAGCAGGCTACAGTTAAAGGGGGCCAAGTTCAAGTCCACCCGGACAGGTTTCTATAGAGGAGGGAGGAAGCAATGGTGAGACACCACCCAGGGGTCCCGTGGTCCCTTGGGAATCTGAACTGAGACAGGGATGCTGAGCTGCCCCTCCGTGAAGCTTGTACCTGGAGGCGGCGTCCCCTTTGGTTCTCCACCCGTGTTTTTAAAGGAGACCCAGAGAGATTGAAGCCACCTAGACAGAGCAAAATGAAACCAAAGGAAACAGAAGCAGCAGGTTGTGAGAGGTTGCACTCTGGGCGTCAGAGCTCAGGCGTGGGGACCGGATGGTCACCTCCAGGACAGGGAGCAGTGGAGGGGTGGCCGTTCATCTGCTCCCAGTACCGAAAATGAGCCAGGGCAGCGAGAGTCCAGTTAGACCAGAGTTGCCCAAGCTGGTTTCCGTGGAATGCCAGCTCCCACACAATAGACACTGAGAGTTCTGGCACAAGGGTCTCTGGGGCCAGGTTGTTTGAGAACTGTAGGATTAAGCCAGATTCGTAAGTCTCCTGGAGGCAGGACTGCTGGACCTACCTCTGCACGCTTGTGTGTGTGGCGCTACCCAGGGGCACTTGGTGTGAGGGCTGCCTCCCAGGCTCACGGGAGCATGGGACCTGATTTTTGCCGAGACTCCTGTTCAGCTCTCACGCCCCCTTATACCCCCCATGCCCCTTGGGAACCGCTGAGGCAGAGGTACAGAGGAATAATCACTGTGAGGAGCTTTAAACTCTCAAGAGAGGCACCAAAGTACATTGTGGAGTTTGGCCCCATTGAGCTCTACACACCATCATTTTTAGTTGGGAGAGGTTTACTGAAGCACGAGAGGTTGGGAAAGCCATCGCTGAGCCCCTTCCCATCCCCTCGCTCTTTGTTGTTCAGCAGCCTGGTAGTGGGATTAACTATAGCTTCTTCCCGGAAATGATTTCAGATACACAGGGATCTTACATCCTGGTTTCTCTTGGTACCTTGGGCCCAATTGATGATGCCTTTGATGCAGTTGTGTGAAAACATGACCTACCCACTAAAAAGCTCTGCTCTCCTCCTGGGGATCATAGCGCCTGTCTGTAGCTAGAAACTACAGGCCTACTTTGCTTTATTGCACTTGCAGATACTGCATTTTTTACAGACTGAAGGTTTGTGGCAACCGTGTGTTGAGCAAGTCTGTCAGTGCCATTTTTACAACAGCATTTGCTCTCTGTGTCACATTTTGGTAATTCTTGCAACATTTCAAACTTTTGCATTATTATTATATTCCTGGAGATGATCTGTGGTGATTATGACTTGCTGAAAGCTCAGATGATAGCATTCTTTGGCAATAAAATATTTTTTAATCAAGGTAGGTACATTGTTTTCAGACATAGTGCTGTTGAACACTTAAGAGACTATAGTATACTGTAAACATAATTTTTATAGGCACTAGGAAACCAAAAAAATGCATTGGTCTCACTTTATTGCGATATCCGCTTCATTGCGGTGGTCCAGAAGCAAACCCACAATATCTCCGAGGTGGGCCTGTACATTTGCGAAAAGTCAGGAGAGGGTGGGGTAGAGGGCGAATCCAGCGTGGGTCTCACAGGTAGGGGGCCCGCCCAGGCCATTTCCAGAGGTGAGTGCTCTTCCACCCCACCAGCTCCCTTGCACACTGTTTAACTTCTCTGAGAAAGCAGTTCTATGCATTTAGGAAGGACACAGTGGTTTGCCTTATTTTTATAGGATTCTGTATGTCAGAGGCCCTCGACCAGGGGTGATTTTGTCCCCAGCAGACAGCCTAGTAATGCCTGGGGACTTTTGATTGTCACAACAGGAAGGGGGTGTGCTGCTGCATCCATAGGTAGAGGCCAGGAGTGCTGCTCAGTGTCCTGCGGTGTACAGGACAGGCCCTCACAGTAAGAGAAGTTCTGGCCCCGAATGTCAGCAGTCCCAGGTGAACCACGGCACCCAGGGCAGGCTTTGTGTTCCGCCCCACCCTGTATGCCACGCTTTGGTCCGGGACGCCCCCTTAGACTTGCCCCATCTAAGGTTTTGTTCAGTGAGAGAAGGATGAGTTTTCTGCAGAAGGTGTCTGGCCACGGAACTTGCTGCCACATCAGCGCTGCCTCAGTTGTCCCATGTGAAAACGTGCTTTTCTCTTTGCAGAACCTGAGAGCCAGAAGCAACAAGGATGCCAAGGACCACACGACCAAGAACTCTTTGGAAAGTGAGTTCTCTGTGCCGAGGCCTCTTCGTGCCCCCTGTGGGGGCGGCTCCTGTGAGCCAATGGGGCATTTGCTGGAAGAGCAAACACGGCACCCAGTTGGGTCACCCTCTGGTGTCTTTGCTGTTCCAGACTTCTAACAGAGCGGGGACAGGGAAAAAGCAGCACTGGGCGTGGTGGGGTGGGGAAGGACGTGGTCAGGACCAGCCTGCCACCAGTAGTAGCAACCAGGAAGGATGGCAGGGGTTTGCGAACACCCACAAACCAGGCACCGCCGGCCATTTAAAATGTCATCACATTGTCCGCAACGGCCCCGTAAGGAGTATTTTATTTTCCCTTTTTTCGGGTGACAAAACAGATTGGGAATGAAAGTAACTGAACTGGAACACAGGTCCTAAGTGGGGAGGCAGGGGGAAAGTCAGAGTTGTCAGGCTCCCAGGCCCATGTGTCCAGCCCCTTCACTCTGGGCAGACTGAGAGATCACTTCTCAGTTGCAGTTGTTAGGGTAGTGCGAAGAGTTACAGAGATGGCAGAGCTTCACCGTGCTCTGAGTCTCGGCTTCTCATCTGTAAAATGGGGATAACAATGCGTGTCTTACAGTAGTTGTGGGAGTCCCGTGAGGAAATGCACCTGGTGTATGTCAGGACACATCTGAGCACCTGTGCCCGTGATGTGCTGGACTCACCATCCTCATGGAGGAGCGGGGGCTGCCCAGGCTGGCCAGGGCTCCCGTGCTGCTGGAGGCCAGGTGTCTGAAAACACTCATAAAGCCAGGACCTCTGTGGGCCCCTGAGTTAGTTTCTGCCATCCTCAGAGTCGGACCTCCAAACTGCGCAGGGATGGACATCGTGAGTGACGTGCTGGTCTGCTCCCAGGAGACCCTCCAGGCCAGAGAGCAGGTCTCCTGCCACGGTTGGGACCCTTGCCAGCCCATGTGCACCAGGGTGCTGCTGGGCTCCCCAGCTCCAGAGGGAAGGGCATCAACTTGGGTTCTGACCAGTAGCTCTGCACTCAGCGTTTAATGTCACGGACCGAAAGCTCAAAGCCACCATGTGCCCGGCCTTCTAGGTGCTCAGTTTGTCCTTGTCCCTGGGTATGGACATTCCCAGGGGACGTGGCGGTTGGGCCACTCCCCCTGCCCGAGCACTTGCCGAGAGGACAGGCAGGCGGGTGGTCTGGGGCTCCTTTCTCCGTGCGTGGCTACCTCTCACCCTGCCCGTCTCTCTGCAGCCCTGCTCTACAAGCCTGTGGACCGGGTGACACGCAGCACGCTGGTCCTGCATGTGAGTGACCCACCTGGGACCTTCTCACTCTGGGGTTCTTGGCTTCCGATGTTCGTCAGTGTTGCCCGCCCCTTTCCCCCTGTTCCTGCCACACACCTTTATGGAAGATGCAGAAATGAGAGGCTCACACAGGGGTGAGGGGAGAACAAAGCAGGTTCTCGAGGTGTCCCGGGTGCTCTTGGAGGGGGAGGTACCGGGAGGGAGCATCCTGTCCCACCTAAGAAGGGCCTCCAAGGTAGACGGAGTGGGGGCACAGAGAGCAGGTGCCTTCCATGGCTTTGAGGATGACCACTGCTTCCCAGCCTGGGGAGAGGGAGTGTGGGGAGGGCCCGCCTCAGTGGGGCTGCTCCTGAAGGCAGCAGGGAAAATGAAACTGGCCCCTAGTCCTACTGCCCAGGTGATGCTATTCACTTACATTTAGAGCAAGTTGTAAATGCATTTTTTTTTTAATTTACAACCAAGTCACAGAGGTGTGTGGTTTCCATTTCCTTCCCTGTTTTCTCCTCACCACCACCCACAAGTATTCTTTTATGCACATGCCAACATTTATGAGCGTCTTTTTTGATTATGCAGAAGGTGTCATGCTATATGTATCATTCCACACTTTGCCTTTTTTCCCCTTAATATGATGCGGTGGAGATTGTCCCACTTCAGCCCAAACAACTCTGCCCCATAGTATTTAAGCTGTGTAGTATTCTGTCAAGTGCACGTTTCTCAAATCTTTTTTTTTTTTTTTAAGATTTTATTTATTTGACAGAGAGTCAGCGAGAGAGGGAACACAAGCGGGGGGAGTGGGAGAGGGAGAAGCCGGCTTCCCGCTGAGCAGGGAGCCTGATGCGGGGCTCGATCCCAGGACGCTGGGATCATGACCTGAGCCTAAGACAGACGCTTAACGACTGAGCCACCCAGGCGCCCCTCAAGTGCACATTTCATAATTCCTCACTACGCTCTGGTAAAGAGGGAGATGAGAGGCATGGTTTAGAATGCTCTGGCTAGGGGCACCTGGGTGGCTTAGTTGGTTAAGTGTCTGCCTTCAGCTCGGGTCATGATCCCAGGGTCCTGGGATTGAGCCCCGCATCGGGCTCCCTGCTCAGCGGGAAGCCTGCTTCTCCCTCTCCCACTCCCCCTGCTTTGTGTTCCCTCTCTCTGTCAAATAAATGAATAAAATCTTTAAAAAAAAAAAAAAAAAAAGCGGCGGCGGCTCTGGCTGGTGGCCCATCGGACGGAGTCTCAGAGACCTTTATCCTATCCCCTCTCCGAGCGTCCTGACAGAAGCAGAGCTGCCCAGGGGTGGCGTGGGGGTCCTGGGACCATGGGCACCAGAGCTTTCCTCCAGGCTTATTTCATCTTTGCATGTTCTCTGCAGGGGAGATTTGAAAGCTAAGGGGAGTTCATTTTTCTGAACCAAGGAGCTGTTGACCTTAAGCATGAATTACATGCATTCCTAGCGGAGAAGGAGTCAGCATTTCCATCTGTATTCTAAAGAGGTCTAGTCTCTTCTCTAAAGCAGGAGGAGCGGGGAAGACCAGGTGCATTCTCCTGAGCTTGCACAGACCAGTCGTCCTGGACGAGACCAATTCTGCCCCCTAGGGGACAGCCAGCAATGTTGGAGACTTTGTTTCTTGTCACAACTGCAAAGGAGGAGTGCCAGCATCTAGTGGGTAGAGCCCAGGGGTGGGGGGCTGATGGCCTACAGTGCACAGGACGGCCCCACCACAAGGAATGATCCAGCCCGGAATGTCACTGGGGCCCAGGTGGACAAATCCTGCCCTAGACCCCGCGAGTGGGAGCCCCTGTTGGCAGCGTGCACACAGCATGGACTTGTGGGAGCACCGTCTAGGTGTAGGACCTGCTTCTGGGATGGTGCTCACCCAGCACTGCGTGCCTAGCCCTGGCCTGTCCAAGAGGTGTCCTGAGCTTGCCCGGCATATGTCTGCAGTTGGCACACCATGGTGGGCACCAGGGCTGTGCTCTTTCTGACTTGAGTCCTCTTGCCTGACATAGGACTTGCTGAAGCACACGCCCTCCAGCCACCCCGACCACCCTCTGCTGCAGGACGCCCTCCGTATCTCACAGAACTTCCTGTCCAGCATCAACGAGGAGATCACGCCCCGCCGGCAGTCCATGACCGTGAAGAAGGGAGAGGTGAGCGAGGCTGGGGATGGTCTGGGTTTGCCAGCCTGCCCCACCGGGCAGGGGGACGTCGGAGCCCCTTTCTGGTCCTCAGCCAACTGCCTGCCATTGAGCCTAACACAAGAAACGTGGTACCTTTTAGGGTCTTTGACCCTGAAACCCGATCCCCTGTGCAGGGTGTCAGGGTGGAGTTGCAGGGCTGCTTGCCTCGCTTGGCCACCTCTTTTTCCAGTGTGACCGGTTGTGTCCAGGGCACCCCTTCTCTTCTCTACACCCTTGCCAACTCAGGGTCCCCAGCTGAGGAGACCGGTGAGAAGGAAGATGTCATTTTGTCTGCCTGGAAAGACCTAGTTCCTCCTGAGTGTTCTTTCATTTAAAAATAGTTCCAGGTTTCCTCTGATATCCGAAGGTAGAACATTCCTATGAAATCTTTTTTAAGCTGAAATGGTGTAAAATTAAGAAGCCTCACTATTTGTAAAAGCGAAAAATCTTCTTCAGATCTATTTGGTTACTGAAACAAATACTAACGTTTGACAAAAGCAAACTTTCGGATAGTATGGGAAACCCGTATGACCAGATTTAAGGACTTAAAAAGGAGGAAGAGGGGGGTGCAGGCAGTTTGTGGGCTTGCTTGTCTTCTCCTTGGGTTCTCCTTCCTCCTCCCTCCCTCACTGACAGCCACCCCTGGCCTTTATCGCCCTGCTCATCATTGATAAGAGGGTAGAGAACAGAGGGGCTAAGAATGCATGACCCAGCCCGCCCGCCCCGGTGGCCTCTTGCTGCCTCTGACCCTGCTGTGAGGGGCCCAGTGAGGTGCTGGGCCGGTGCCATCCCAGCAGGCAGCACTTGGTGAGAGAGCAGAGTTGCGTAAATCAGGGAGGCTGGCGTCCAGCACAAGTGTGAGCAGCACCAAGGCGAGGGAGGCTGACCTGCTGCCGCTGGGCTCTTGTGCAGGCACAGGAGCTATATGGCCCCGGCGGGACACGGCCAGCAGTGAGCCTGGCAGTAGCTGCCCCTGGAAGCCACTTCCTCCTCTTTCTTCCGGTTCATGTGCCAGGCGCCCGGCACTGAGGGCTCAGCCTCCCGCAGTCGGGGTTTCTTTTCTTCTTCCACCTGGGCTGGCAGGCAGGCTCCTCAGATCTGTCCTCCCTACTCCTCTTTGGGAAGTGGTACCTGAGCGCTGAGCAGAAAGCTCCCATGTGCCCAGAGTCTCATCAGGCTTGACCATGAGCGAGGGGCTTGGTCAGATTTCTCCTGGTGGGCCAGGGCCACGGAGGGAGGTGTCCCCTCCAGTCCATGCTCCAGGCTGGCCCAGACCCTGGAGCCAGGCCGACATAGAGATCCAGTGCCGACATCGGCGTGAACTCACCCACCACATGGCTTGGACCGTGCTTGCTCCTCCCCCCTGGACCTGGTCCCCATTTTTACGATAGGGTGGGAACGAGGCCCACCCTGGCTGGGTGCCTGCAAACCCAAAGCGCATGCCTTGTGGCTAGAGTCCCACCGGCGGGCAAACAGAAGCAGTCTCTGAGCTCGAGGAAGCCAGGAGTGGGTCCCCGGCACCTCCCAGGGCCCCCACACCCAGCTGTCCGGTGTCTGGAGCCTGGGGGTGGTGGGGCTCAGATCTCCTTTCCTGGAGCAGCGGCACCCTGCCCCCGGTTCGGCCCCCCACCCGGCTCAGGGACTCTGAAGGAGTGCAAAGCTTTGGCCTCCCTAACCGGATGCAGGATTTGCTCCTGCCCAGACTCCTTCTGAGTTTGTGCCCAGCTCACCCTTCCCTCCTAGGACACCCGCTCTTTCTCCTCTGCTGACTGTTCTCTTATGAGAGCACTGCCGTCCTGGGAAGCCAATGTGTGAGTCCTTTCCCTCTCAGCTTTTCATACAGTGCTGAGTCTGCCCTCACACCCCCACCCTGCCGTCAGAGCCCTGGCGAGAAATACCTTCTTGCTCCTCAGAATCGGTGGAGGCGGCTATCCTAGGGAAGTGAGGAAAATCAGATGTTACCTGGGAGCTGGCAGCCCAGCCCTTGTCCCGCATCTGTTACCATAGGCTTCCTTCCATGCTGACCCACGGTCAGGGTCTCAGGGCGACTAAACAGGGAGTGTGTAGGGGCTGGCCACTTCATGAAGAAGAGGGCTTTTATCTGCACCCACCCTCTCCCCCACCAGCATCTGGCCCTGTTGGCCTCAGTGATACCTGCTCAGTGAGAGGGATCACTCGGGTACCTCAGCTGTAAGAGGAGGAGAAAGAAGCTAATGCCTTCTGAGAGGTTGTGAGTCTGACTCGCATGCACCTTCTCTCCATCCCATGCATGGTAAGGGGGGTGGTGGCCAGCCCAGTATGACAGACAATTGCCCACGCTCATGCTCCCTGCCCCCACCATTCCAGGAACAGACATCACTAATCAATCAGGTGCTCAAACTCTGAGCTGATTGCAGCCTGAGCGTCCTCCTCGGTGTATCCTCAGGCTGCCCAACCCAGTCTGCTGTCCCCAGTGTGGTAGAAAGGATGCTAGAAGGGCGGTCCCCCAACCTGGTTCAATCCTGCCCTCCACTTACCAGTGGCTTTGATATGGGAAGCCCTTATTTCTTTGCCAAGTATCCATCATCTGACGACAGTGTCTCAGGATCTGTGGCCCCTCCACCAGGTCACTGTGAGACAGAAAGGGTCTCATGACCTCTGAGGGTCTGTATAAGAGCAGGGGTGATGATTTGCCCACCCGGGCACCATGCATGTTGGAGGTGGTGGGAAAGCACCCTCTACATCACCAGTCCGGAGAGAATCTGCAGGTCCTGGGAGGGGTGGGGAGCTGCAGGCTGCTTCCTTTTAGAATTTGCAGCTGGGGAGGGTCTGAGATTTGGAAGTACCTATTTTTTTTCCTGTGTTCTCGTCTCTAAATTTGGTACATCACATTGAATACCAAGCTTCCAAATGGAGAGAGAAAATGGGCTTCTGAGTTCCCCTAATGACTCTGTGAGGTTAGAGGTATTTTCCAGGCGAGGACACTACGGCTCAGAAAGGTTAAATGACTTGCCCACGGTCATAAAGCCACTAAGTAGCTAAGCCAGGATGTGAGGCCAGGTGTGCCCTGGCACCTGTGTGCACCACAGGTGTGTTATGATTTATGATAGCCCCTCCTGCACTCCCCCGACACCCTGTGAACCAATAGGATTGTCCACCCCTCCCTAGTCCCTGTATAAAGAGCTACCTGGACGTAGGTGGTCATAAGGAGAAGATGTGCCCCTTTGGTTGAGGAAGAGGGACTTTGGGCAGCTTTACAGGTGTCTCCCTGACACTGAACTGTGGCTGGCAGATGCTCTCACCAGCCGGTATCCTGGCCCTGGCACCCCAGGGGCCGTGAGCGGCAGGCACTTCCCAGGAGGACACCCTCAGCCTCCCAGGAGCTGGTCAGGACCGAGAGGTCCTGCTGGCACATTTTCTTCCCAGGCCTGGGCCCTGTGGGCTGGTGGATAGGTGCTCCTTCATTTCGCTGAATTAACTTTATGCTGCTGGCTGATTTCCCCAGGCGGCTGCCCGTCTGTCTATTCTTAGCGCCACGCCATGTGCTGCCCGACATCCCCAGCTCGGGCTGGGAGGCAAATGGGGTGATCCCATGTGGGTGTCTTGTTTCCCAAGAGCCAGCCTTGTCTTGGAGCCGTTCTCTACCCAAGTTTCCCTCACAGAAGGCAGGTGGGCAGGCCGAACAGGAGCCGCTGGGGAAATGTCGCCGGTGCAGGCCGAGGCCAAGGGGTGGTGAGGCTCAGGCAGAGGAGACAGGAGGCCTCTTGCTTGAGGATTAAAGAATTGGAAACGCCAGACCCTGTGGCAGTTTACAAGGGGTGCTGCGGAAAGGGGGTGGGCATGAAGACAGCAGAAGGGTTGGGGTTCCCAGCGCCACCAGACACCGCGTGTGACCTCAGCAGTACCACTCATCTCTGAGCACCAGCTTGCTCAGCTGTGGGATGGGGCTGAGCCTAGACCCCGTGCCGTCCACAGTTTCAAAGGATGTCTGTGACGTGGGGGCCCCATGAGGGCAAGGCCAGTGCTCCACGTCTAGGCCTTTTCTCAACCCTTCATAAATACTTGCAGATGGAGCTTGGGTTCTCGACCTGTCTGGACCCAGGTTCTGATTCTTCCAGGAACTTGGGCGTGTTACTTAACTCCAGGCCTTTGCTTCTCCAGGAAGTGGTGGGGCTGGAACCTACTGCCGGGGACAGTTCTGCCAAGTTCAAGATGTTTCATGAAGCACTCTCTGCACAGGGCCCAGCACCCAGCAGGTGCTCAGTGAACATTCCTGCTGTGCATCAGCCGTGTGGTTCCCGGGCTCACCCTGCCCTCCACCCAGCAGGCTCCTGTCCCTTCTGGGCCACGTCATGCTCTGACTTCATTCCCCCGATCGGTTGTCTTATGATGATGCGTCTCTCCAGGGCATGGGAAGCACGAGGCTTTCTCAGGGATCAGGGAGTGGTTGTGTGCTCTGCAGGGAGGCCAAGTAGCCAGGAGCCGAGAGCCCTAGGACAGGTGTGAGAGCAGGAGGGTCAGGCAGGACCCTCGGCACACACTCGGCTGCGGGCGTGTTGTTCTGGGTATACTTCTTCCACCTGCTGAACCTCCAGATTCCACCGAGTTACCCCACAGCCAGGGCTGCTCCGATGGGCAGTGTCAGCTGGGCCACTCACGTGCAGCCAGCGACCCCCGGTTTCACACCTCACTCTGGGGGCACGGGAATGGGGGGGCTCAGGCTGCCGGCCTCCTCCAAGGGCCAGACGTGCTGAATCTGGCCCATGCTTGGAGCTAAGCCAGGCACCCTCAGCCAGCAACTCGTGCCTCATTGGTCCTAGCTTTGACCATCTTCCTTCTCCTCCTCTCTGCCCCCACCTGGGCCCTCCTTGGCAACCCTTCTTGGTCTCACCTGGCCAGGCCCCACTGGCTTATCCCTGAACTCTTGATTCCTATACCTGAGGAGACTTCCCAGCGCCCCCTCCATGGAACCGTGGTCTCTGGCTTCTTTGTGTGTGTGTCTCAGTCTGCTCAGCTGCTGTAACAAAGTGCCATCAACTGGGGGCTCGAACAAGAGGCTTTCATTTCTCATAGTTCTGGGGGTCCCGAGGTCAGGGTGCCAGCATGCTTGGGATCTGGTAAGAGCCTATTTCCTGGCTCACAGGCGGCCACCTTCTCACCGTGTACTCCTGCGGCTTTTCCTCACAGCATGCACATGAAGAGAGCTGTCTTCCTCTTCTTATAAGGGCACCAGTCCCATCACGGGGTCCCACCTTTGCAGGCTCACCTAAACCTAATCACCCACAAAGGCCCTGCCCGTGGATACTGTCACATTAGGGGTTAGGGCTTCAACATGTGAATTTTGGGGTGGACACAAATACCAATCCATAACGGTGCTCTTCTTCCAGATGCGTCTTCCCTGGATGGGCTCTGTCTGGGGGTGGGGGGCAGTGTTGCCCAGATGACAGCTGGAGGAGGCCAGCCAGCCTAGGGGAAAACCCCTGGGGAAGGAGACACCCCTCTTCAGAAGACTGTGGGCACATAATGCAGCCTCACTGGCCTCAGTTTCCTTGTCTGTAGAAATGGGGGTGATGGTACCTGCCCCCGTCATCGTGAAGTGTGAGAGGCCCAATGACAGGGCAACTCTCAACACAGGGCCTGTACCCGCAGAGGACTTGGCTTACCGTAGCCAATAGCCCCATATGGGTGCATTTAATCCTCTAAAAAATGCCGCCAGGCAGGTGTTTGCATCCCATCTTATCTTTAAGGCAACTGAGGTTCAGAGAAACAAAGTGGCTGAGCCAGCATTATCACTGCAGAGAGAAGCGAGGGGGGTGGGCCGCAGGCAGTGGGGGTCGCAACAGCTCCAGTCACCTCACTCCCTGGCAGCGTGAGCTTACCGGTTTTTCAAGGAGGCAAGTGGTGTCCCTTCTAAGCAGGTGTTCCCCACGTGGGATGTGGGGGTAGGGGTACCATCACTGCCCCACCCCACAACACACAAAGACATGCACACGCTGTGATATACACAGGGACGCAAATACACATACATACAGAGGGACATGGGGACACATACCCATGGACACACAGGGACATGGAAACATCTAGAACGACATACAGAAACACAGGAACGTGACATACATGAGGACACAGAGAGATACATATACACAGGGACACATACACGGGGGCACACCGAGATCAGGCTCCATACACTGACAGGGGTACACACACACAGACGTGCCTGCCTACATGGGGACACACACACAGAGACACAGAGACGCATGGATTCTCTTTCCCACAAATACACTCCTGTGGCCCCAAGGGGCTGGCTCCTCTGAGTCACTGTCCCCTAGACTTCAAGAAGTATGGTGCTACCCTAACCCGGGGTCCAGCAGGTTCTGGGTCTCTCCTACAGCTCTACCCAGGGGTGTTTGCACAAGATGCTGAGGCAAAAGGACAGTCCTTTCCAGCCACCCAACTTCACGCCATCTTTAGACCACAGCCCACAGTGCCATGGGGCCGTGAACCTGTGCAGCCAAGCTGTGGCCCAGCCTGTGTCCCCTGGAGGACCTGACCGGTGGGCCGCGCTGGATGTTGGTGCTGAGGACAGGGCTGGTGAGCATTTCTGAGAGAGACGTCTCCTGGGAAGGCACGGGCCTCCTGGCTCTACACTGGTCCCATGTGGGCTGGCAGGGCGTCGCTGCAGAAGCCAGGGATCTGAGGGAGGCCCAAGTGATGGCCGCGGGGTCCGGCAGCCCCTCGGATGCCTCAGTCAAAGGGCAGAGCAGCTCCTCACAAACTCGCTGTTGGGCCTGCAGCTTCTTTATCCCTCCTTCATGTCTGTGCTCCTCCCCGATCATCTGCTCTTGGCCTCTCTCTTTCCTGAAATGGTGTCTGTGCCAGGAGGGATTTGTTGTTTCTTCACGGGCCTGTTTCAGCAGCAGGATCCGTCCTCACCTGCGGCTTTGGGCTGGGCTCAGAGGAACAGAAAGCATCTACCCAGGGGTCAGGGTCCTAGGCTGTGCATCGGGGTGGGACCACCAGCCTTGAGAGTCTGTGCCTCAGGACTACCCCTGGGCCTGGGGAAATAACGGACAGACAGTGTGATGCCCGCTCCCCCCCACTCCCCTCGCCCGCTGCCCTGCCACTCCCCTGACTCCGTCCCCTCTGCCAGGGTCCATGCTCCCTTTGTGGATTTGCCTGTGTCGTGGCTGGGGGCCTGTTTTCCTGGGACTGGTAGAGCCCTCCTGCCCATTTGCTGGATATTTTCTGTTCCGGCACGCTGGAAGACCCCAGGGTGGCCTGGGGTTCAGAAGCAAGGCCCAGTGCTTCCCCCAAAGGGAGGGCAACTGTGACGTGACAGGGAAAATTCACAGCGAAAGAGCCTTACTCTGAAGACAGCCACTGCTGTCCACCACCCGCGCTCTGCAAGGGTCTGGCAGGGGACATGCACGACTCACATGCGCTGGACGGCCCTCGGAGACAGAGCGTGGCACCGAGCAGGGCTTGGACTGGGATGCTTTGGGGGCAGTGGGCTGGCTAGGAAGTGTCAGGGCACCCTTGGCTTTGGGGCTTTTCTCAAATGAGGGTTTGTATAGGCAAGAGTTCACAGGAAGGGGCGTGACAACTGTCATAGTATCAAAATAGAGTCTGTCTCTCAGAGCCTCCCAGGGCTGCAGTCTGAGCCCCGGGGGGGGGGGGGGCGGGTGCTCCTCCCGGTCAGCCTTGTGTCCCCTCCACACAGCAGGGCAGGTGTGTGGGCTGCACCAAGCACCAGGGTAACAGTGATCTTGTGGAGGATGAATGCAGTGCTTCTGCTGAACATGTGAGCAGCAGGACCTTTCAGGGAGAGAGGGTGGGCCGGCTGAAGGGTGGAGAGGGTGCTCGCTGCTGGGACTCTGGGCATTTCTGACCTGCTGGCAGAGGGGATGAGCCCACTTCTGAGCTGGACATAGGGGCCCTCTGCTGGTGGTGGCCAGAAGCTCAGCCCCTTTGTATGGAGAGAGGATCCATGTCCCCTCACTGAGAGCCCCTTCGTCCCTGCCCCCTGGGCTAGAAGACCCTCTGTCATGTCCCTGCTGCGGAGACGTCTGTCCGTTCATTCCTCTGGGACTTCAGGGTCCCAGGAGCCTTCGCAGACCTGCTCCCTGACCAGGACCCAGCTGTCAGGTTTGCCCTAGGCTTTTGCCCCAGGATCTCCAGCTCTGTGTGGACGTTTCTCCAGATGCACACACTTTCTTGCTTCCTGTGGGCACCAGTGCCAGGTGGGCTGTCTGCCCCCGGCAGGCAGGGAGAGGGTGAGTGACCATGAGTCATGGCCTTGGCACGCAGGCCGTCCTCCAGCCTTTCCAAAACTTAATGCTCTCCTGTTTAAATCATTCACTCCCTGGAGCCAGGGGCCAGCTGGCCATTGTGAGCCAAGCTGAATGTGACAGGGACATGTGGCCTTTGCCCCTGGGAGTGTTGGGGCCCAGCCTAGGCTACACTTGCTTCTGGGTGGCTTTGCTCTTGCAGAGAGTCTAGGAGAGTTCAGGGAGGCCCAGGCTCCCTGAGAGGACTCTGAGGCTACAGGTAGCCGTGGAGCCTGGCGTGGGCCTGCCAAGCACATGGCGGGGTGGGGGGCTGGGGAAATGTTCTGGGTCTTTGCGCACTCCGATGTATGTACCTGATCCTCCAGACCCTTTCCTAGCCATCACGGTGAGGAGCAGGGAGTCCCTGTCTCTAGAGGGCCTTCCCAGAAGCCAGGGTGGCTGGGTTCCTGCTAAGCATCTGGTCTCTCTATGTGCTTTTGACCGCTGAGCATCTCCGCTTGCTCACTCACTGTGCTGTCTGGGACGAGTGGTAAACTTCTCCGAGGCTCCCATTTCTCATCTGTGAAATGGGCATAAGGACCTGCCCACAGGGTGTTGTGGGGATCACATCCGATGATGAGGCCATGTGCCCGCACCGCATGCATGGAATGTGCATGGGGAAGACTCGCCGTGTCAGCCTCTCATCCTGTTTTTGAGTCCTTGGCACGGCATGGCATTGACCCTCATGAAGTGCTGGGCACTCTTTTTCGGATGAATTGCCGACTTACCTTGGTGTGCCATTCAGCAGCCCCTGGAGCTGTGAGCCTGTGGGGAGTGTTCTTGTCTGTCACATGAAGCACCCAGGTGCAGAGGCACATGGCTTGCTGGCAGGCCAGTGCCTCCTGTCCTGCCCGGGCTAGGCCCAGTGGGCCCTGGGCAGGTCCCCTCAGACTCAGGCTGCAGGTATCCAGGCATCCTATGTGGGCTTCTGCCCGTCAGTGGGCACTGACCCTAGGAAACCCAGGGCACGGGGTCCCAGCTGTGGGGCCCCTGCTCAGCCTCCTGCTGCCCTCAGAAGTAAGCTCAGCCTCTCCCATGACTGTCAGGCTGTCCCCTTCTTGGAGCGCTCTGGGCCCCCGCCTCCTCCCCGCTCACCAGGCTGCGCCACCCATGCTCTTCTCGCTGTGGGCCTGGGCTATGATAGCCCTTCTGCGAGAATGTCCCTCCCGTGGCTGGCCTCTTGCCCATTCTGGGTCTCCACTTCCTGCCCCACAGAGGCAGGGACCACCCTGCTCATAACCCTGCTCACATCGTTTTCTCTGCAGACCACTGACATAGCCGTGACATCCCCCTCCCCAGCCTCCAAGCCAACAGCTGGTACCCCGTCCACTCACCCTCCTCCACAGGCCAAGCACCCAGGGAAACTTGCTGCAAAGAGGAAAGCGTACTGTGTGTGTTCGCCGAGACAAGGGGAGCGCTGCAGACTGGGTCTGAGAGTGGGAGGCTAAGGCAGTGAAGCCCCCCCGCCCCCCCCACTGGCCTGCTGCCCTAACTCGAGCCCCCACTCCACCCCACAGCACCGGCAGCTGCTAAAAGACAGCTTCATGGTGGAGCTGGTGGAGGGGGCCCGCAAGCTGCGCCACGTCTTCCTGTTCACCGACCTGCTCCTCTGCACCAAGCTCAAGAAGCAGAGTGGAGGGTGAGTGCCCACATGGCGCCCATCCTGCCAGCTGGGGAGGCTCTTGGGGCCGGCCGGGACTGGTTTCATAGATGAAAGAAACCTAGCTTTTTTTTTTTTTTTTCCCTTCCTCAGTGAGCCTAAAGAGTTCGGTAACTATGTGGCCAGGTCATTTTCTTTAGGTTACATTGTTTCTAGCCGGCCACATACCAGGCTCAGGGTGAAAGGCCACCATTAACAAGGTGGGGACAGTCTAGGTCAGGATCAGTGACCAGCCTGTTACCTCCTACAGTGGAAGGGGAACCTACCTGATGAGGTACTACTGGGGGACTGTCCCGTCATGATCCAGGAAGAGTAAGTGACAGGTCAGGGAGCTGCAGGGTCTGGTGCAGGTGGGCAGGTGACGGAGTGGAGCAGGGCGGGCGTCACTAGACCATCCCTGTACTTTGTCTCCCCAGACCTGGTGAGAGCTTCGAAATTATTCTCAGCCTAGGCTACAAACCGCCCCCCCAACAAACCCCGCCTCCCGGGGGATCAGACCACCCAGGTTGCACCGGCTAGAATGGAAAAAAGAGGTCATGTTGAGAAAGACCAGAACTGGGCTCTTTCCCCCATTCTGCCATTACCGTACTGAGAGCTTTAAATCAGTCATTTTGGAGGACAGCCTCAGTTTCCCCTTCTGTCATGGCGGGGGATTACCCCCAGTAGATCTGTAGCTCCTCACACTCTACGGCTCTGGGGGCATCTGCAGTCCTGTCCTGTAGGGCAGTGGATGCCCCTGATGTGCTCCCACGTCAGGGAGCCCGTGAGCCGCCACCATCAACCCAGGATAGGGTGGATCAGGCCTAAGTCACACATGCAGAGTGCCCATTGCTAGAGGTCACCAGGGCTGGGTCACCAGTGTTGGCCGATGGCCTTATGCCAGCCTGTCGCATGGACCACAAGCTGGGTTTAAGGTCTTGTAAACTATGCCAGCCTCAAACTTAGGCTTTCTTGGCTTTTGAGAACAGTGATGTTAGCAAAGAAAAGCAGTCCGTGTGTTAATGTGCTGTTTCCTCACCCAGCAAAACCCAGCAGTATGACTGCAAGTGGTACATCCCGCTCACGGATCTCAGCTTCCAGACAGTGGATGAGTCGGAGGCGGCTCCCAACATCCCCCTGGTGCTGGATGAGGAGCTGGATGCCATGAAGATCAAGATATCCCAGATCAAGAATGATATCCAGAGAGAGAAGGTGAGACCAGTTAGGCAGGAGCAAGGGTAGGCCCTGCCGCTGGAGCGGCAGCAACCCCCCGAACGTGGGTATCTGGGTATCTGACCTACTTCTGGCCTCGGGGACGTGCTGGGACCCCTGCGGGCCCGCCGTCAGGCTTGGAGCCGTCCGGCGTGTGGGGGTAGGGGAGGTGCCCAGCTGCACCGATGGGGAAAGAGTCCCAGATAGGGGGATCAGCCCCTCTAGGTGTTCTGGACTGCCCCAGGCAAGCCTCTGGTTGTTTCTGGAGAGGGAACTGTGAGGATGAGGCATTCGCATGGAGGGTCACCCCGACCAGAGCCGGCACCGTGCGGTGGCCACAGACAAGGGGCGGTCCCCAGAAGACTGGGCTTCGGTTCAGGGAGGCCTGGCTGAGGTGGGCTCAGCAGGACAGGGGTCTTCCTCACCCCTCTCCCACCTGCTGGCCTACCACACCACAAACCCTGTAGGCCGAGGAAGGCTCTGGGAGCAGTGGGGACGGAACCAGCGGGAACGGGTGGCCCTGGGCCGCCGGAATGGAGACGTGACTGTGGCCTCTCCCCGCAGAGGGCAAACAAGGGCAGCAAGGCCATCGAGAGGCTGAAGAAGAAGCTGTCAGAGCAGGAGTCGCTGCTCCTACTCATGTCCCCCAGCATGGCCTTCAGGGTCCACAACCGCAACGGCAAGGTGAGCGCCCGCCGCGGTCTTGCTTAGCCAGCTGGGGCCGCCCACTGCTAGCCCAGGCAGACCCTCCTGGCCCCCGGCTCCCATCTAGCTGGAACCTCGCTGTGCTGTGGCCGAGACCCAGCACCCGGCCGCGTGGCAGCTGGGTTCCGTGGCTCCCGTGTGGCCCGTACAACAGCAGCCCTTTTCCTCTGGAGGGCGTTCCCACACCAAGAGGGGCTTGTTCGGTATGGCTCCCCCAGGCCCGTGTGTCCCTCTGCCTGGTGCTTTGGGCCGAAGCCCCCAGATTGACAGGCAGCTGGCTCAGCCCTCACAGCTGGGAGGTAGCGGGGTCTCCAGGAAGCCTGAATAGGGCAGGGGTTCGCAAGTTTGTACAGACCCGGCCCTCAGGACAGGGATTCTGTCTGGGAACCTTGTGGGCCTGAGAGGGGACCTTCTCTCCTGAGTCTGACTCCTGGTGCCATCTGGAGCCCAGGCCTCTCCCTCTCTGGGCATCGCTTATAGCTGTCAGCACGCAGCCTAGGGGGTGGCAGCTGGGGGCTTTGCAGAGCCTCATCTCTGGGTCACAGCTCAGGGCTTGTGTGCTGGACACAGGTGGTCAGGGTGGCATCGGCCCTCACCTCTGCAGATCCCACCTGGTAACCTTCTCTGTGGCCCTAAGCCACAACATGCCATGCTGTGGCCCAGGCAGTCCAGGCAGAGGACCGGCGCCAGAGGCAGAGCTCCACGGGCCACGGGAGCTGGGGCCTGAAGCCCAGTTGGCAGGAAGGGTGGAGAGTGCCAGAAGCACGAGCCAAGCTGTGAGCACACTCAGCCACCAGGCTCCAGCCAGCCTCTGACACCCAGGTCCCTGTGCCTTGGAGGGGTGCACTGCCGGACTCCGTACGGACAGCGACAGGGAGCGGCGCCTGAGTGGGAGCGGAGGTAACCAGGGCGTATTCTCCTTCTCGCCCCCCAGAGTTACACATTCCTGATCTCCTCTGACTATGAGCGTGCTGAGTGGAGGGAGAACATCCGAGAGCAGCAGAAAAAGTGTAAGTGGCATCTGCCAAGGAGAAACTTGGAACCTCAGGGCTGGATATTCATCTCCTCCTGTGGTTTCAAGCCTTTTCTTGCTTCCCGAGGGGCTGGGCAGTGGTGCTCTTACCCAAGTGAGATGCTACGTGAGCTCTGATTCAAAAAATAAATTGGACAGGAGCTCCTGCTAGGGCCCTGCCCTCTGTGCCCGCTTTCCTAGGCCTCCCCTGCATTCCCTATACATCACCCCCACCTGCTTTCTGACCTTCCCTGTGAACTCTCCCCTCTCCCCCAGTGCCTTCCCTAAATTCCCCGCCTGCCTCCTGAACCTCCCTACTCTTGATGCCCACCTTCCCCCTGTGGCCCCCCTGCGCCCTTGCCTGTCCCACCCCCAGGCCTCCCTCACCCTCTAGCAGGTGCCGATGCCAAAGGGGCCCTTGGCTGGACCCACCTGGGCAGCCACACTGTGCTGGCCCCACTCGCTGTCCAAGGGGCCAGCACTTGATCACTCTTAGCATAGGGTGCTCACTCTCTCTGGGATGGTCCCTTCCCTGGGTGCTTCCCTCTCTGAGCAGTTCTCTCCTCCTCCTGAGCTCAGAGCTGGCCCTGGGCCTGTCTGGCATTCTTCAGGGGTGGGAAGGCAGACCCTGCCGCAGGTCCTGGGGCTGCAGCTGCTTGGGTCCTTCCGCTGCACCCTAGCTGTATGGTTCGGGACTCCTGAGCCATCCTTGCTGAGAGTTTCCCAGGTGTGCTGCGTGTGGCACTGTTCCGAGAGTGCCTGCAGAGAGAGCCGGGCTGAGCACTGTGTCCTGGGTGGGCTGGGAGCTCCACACGCCTCTGCCCTGTCCTGAGCTCCCACCCCTCCGGGCCTATCATCCTTGCCCGTGCTGAGCCATTTGCCCCCGCAGGGCCCCTGCATCCTGGGGGACGAGGCACTCTTGGTGCCTGCTGCCCTGCCCCGGCTCATGTCCTGGGTTTCCTTTTATAACCAGGGGACCCCAGCCATTTGCAGCATGGCAGCGTCTACTCCCTGCTCAGCGCTGCAACAGAAATAAGCCCCTTTTCCTCACCTGGTGGAGACAGGGGTCTTCGTTAGCGCAGAGCACAGGGTGGGGATATGCTGGGCATCTGTGTGGGAAGATACTCCCGGGCACCATCTCCCAGTTGCCTTGGGGGTGTGCTGAGGTGCAGGCCCCCTCTTGTTTTTGCAAGTCTTATGCTAATTCCTCCCGCACTCTGAGCCCAGCCTTGGCCAAGGCCATGCCTTGCTTGGCCACTTACCAGCTCCTCTCTTGGGAGCAGGTCGCCCCCTCCTGGCCACCACAGCTCATCACCAGGGTGTGGTGAAGGTCCTGCGCAGGGACATCAGAGAACACCCTCTGGGTGTCCCGGCAATCTGAGGAGCCATGCGCACTGGCTGGTTGTGATGCACTGGGTTCTACCCTCTCAGGTTTCAAAAGCTTCTCCCTGACGTCCGTGGAGCTGCAGATGCTGACCAATTCATGTGTCAAACTTCAGACCGTCCACAGCATTCCACTGACCATCAACAAAGAAGGTGGGCTGTCTTCCTAAGGGCTGCTGTCCCTTTCTGCTGTCAGCACTGTCTTTGGGACCGTGGGCTTCTCGAAGGAATGCGTGTGCTGCTTAGGGCCTGCGGCCTCTCCCAGGAGTGGATGGGACGGGTCGGGGTGGTCTATCTCCAGCTGCTGGGTGGTTGAGGAGACCCGTGACTTTATTCCTGGTCACACGACACATCTCAGACCCTCTGTGCTCTGGGTCTGGTCCCACTGCCCTGTCCGCCCAGTCGGGCGCTTCCTGCCCACACCCTTGGTCATGCTGCATTTTGCGTTCACTCGTGCACACGCTTGCGTCCACTCATTCCCGCTCACAGTATATGCTTGTGCACATGCATGTACATGCACAAGATCCAGGTCACATGCCACCCCTCCCCCTTCCTGTCCTGGGAGCCTTATTACGTTTCACCTCAGTCACCTGTCTGCCGTGTTGCGAACCCAACTCAGATCCTAAGTTCCCTGAGACAGAGGCTACAGTGGATATGTTTCTGGCTCGTGACGTCACCTGGCCTCGTGCTGAGCAAATGGCAGTCACATGGTGCCCCCCTTGAGGGTTGATTTTGAAGCAGAGCCTGTCACTTGCCTCCCTCTGTCAGGAGAACGGATGCTCACCTCTTCACTCTCTTGCACAGATGATGAATCTCCAGGCCTGTACGGGTTCCTGAATGTCATCGTCCACTCCGCCACCGGCTTTAAGCAGAGTTCAAGTAAGTGGTTCTTTGTGGAGGAAGGCGGCAGGACACTGAGCTGGAGGCTGTGAGGAACCAGGGTTGTGCCTCAGATTATCATCAGATGCCTTGGACCCTTAACCCTGTGAGGTCCCGTGCAGGTTGACACCCAGAGTGGATTGTTGCCGGTCTCTGGTCTCTAGTCTCTAGACCAGATGTAGGAGCTGCCGAGCTGCCCTCCCTGCAGGCGGGTCTTGTCATTGCAGGCAGTGGAGTCTGCTACAGACAGGAAAATACAGGCGGGGTTCCAAGCTGTGGGCAGCAGCGCCTTGACCCAGCCAGCAGAGATTTGGCTGCTGACAGCTAAACGGATTCCCTTTTCCTCCCACCCCTCCAAGGCGGGGAGCGCCTTGCAAGTGCTCAAGCTGTCAGAGCAGCGGGGCTGGTTGCATTTCAGTCCAGGGCAGCACACTCTGCACCCCTCAGCGTGCCACCTCCACGCGAGCCCTCGGGGCCCCTTGTAGGAGGACGCAGGACAGGCACTGTGCTGCTGACCTTTCCCACTAACGCTGCAAAGCTGACCGAGAAATCGCCGATGAGCTACAGCCTAGAAGACAGTATTTACAAATGTGTGTGTGTGTGTGTATATATACACGATATGGGACGTGTATTCAGAGCGTATAGAGAACTTTCAGAAACTCCGTGCAAAGGAGACAACCCAGTTTTTAAAATTGAGCAAAAGATTTGAATACACTTCACCAAAGAAATACGGGTAGCTAATGAGCACATGAAAAGATGCTCATGGTTGTAGGGAAATGTAAATTAAAACCACAGTGAGGTCCCCCTTCATACCCACCAGGATGGTGATAATCAAAAAGGTGCACAGTGACAAATGTCGGTGGGGATGCGGAGAAATTGGAACCCTCGGACACTCCGCTGGTGGGGCTGTGAAATGGCTCAGCCACCCTGGAAGACAGTTTCACGGTTTCTTAAAAAGTTAAAACACACCCCTACCGTGTGTGACCCAGCAACCCTGCTTTTAAGTATTTACTCTAGAGAGATGAGGGCGTGTTCGCATAAAACACACCACATTCATCCACACGATGGAGCACCACTCAGCAGTAGAAAGGTACAGAGTACTGATGATACAGGCAGCCACAGCGATGAATCTAAAGAGAATTATTCCCAGCAAGACACCTGATTCAAAAGACTAGATGTCGTATCATTCCACATGTCAGAAATTTCTAGAAAAGGCACAATTTGGAGACAGAAAGCCTGGCAGGGGTTTCCTGGGGCTCAGGTGAGAGGAAGATTGGACTGCGGTTGAACCCAAGGGGCCTTCTTGTGGGGAGAGGGCAGTGTCCTAAAACAGTGGCCGTGCTGTTTTCACAAGTGTTTAAATTTACTAAAAATCCCCAAACTTAAAACAGTTTATAAATCTGCAGTATGCAGATTATACTCCCATAAAGTCATATGGGGACTTCATGTAAAAAGTTTTTGTAATTGTTATGTAATTGCTCCCCTGGGCACACCTGCCCCACGCCCCCCTCACATAAATGCTGGTGTTTTCCAGGGTTCCATCTGGGCCTTCACTGCATATACTCCCTCCTTCCTACGCCCGGGGACCTTTCCATCAACAGCACAGATGATGCCTGGCTCCTGCCTCTCCATCCCCACTTTGCTCTCCTGGGCCCCCTCTGTTACCTTTCCATCTGTGTCAGCGTCCCACGTTCTAAATTCTGCATCCCCAAACTGAACCTATCACTTGGGCCCCTAAACTTGTTCCTCTTCTTTTTTGTCCTGCCCCAGTGAGAAGTACCACCCTCCACCCCATGGCCGGGCCAGAAACCAGCATCTGGTTTACTGGTCATATCAGTAAGATGACATTCTCCATCAGTGGAGTTTCCTCGTTACCGCTGGCTACCTGCCCCACCCTTCATCCAGACCCTGGCAGTGGCCTCCTCCCTGGTCCTTACCTCCGCTCCCCTCCATGCCCCACAATTCTCCCAGCACGGAGCTGTTTTCAGTGCCCTGCCCTGGCCTGCAGCACCCTTTGCCCCAGTTAAGTTGGCGCAGGTGGTAGGCACTTTCCCCAGCCCCACCCCTCTCCGTGCATCGTCCTTCTTGTGGTAATGGCACATTCATCTCTGCCCAGGTCACCAGCCGTAGGGCTCTGCTCACATAGAGGCTTTAGTCAGGGTTTGTCATGGGACCAAGTGAACACATGTTCTGAGAGGTGCTGGTTCAGTTGCACCACGGGGTGGAATCATTGCATGAGGTGCAGGGGCTTGTGCTAGCCACTGGTGTGTTGTTTTATTTTAAAAAGAAAATTAAGGGGCCCCTGAGTGGCTCAGTTGGTTGGGCATCTGCCTTCAGTTCAGGTCATGATTCCGGAGTCACAGGATCAAGCCCTGCGTTGGGCTCCCTGCAGCAGGGAGTCTGCTTCTCCCCTCCCCCACTCATGCTCTCTCCCTCTCACTCACTCACTCTCTCTCAAATAAATAAATAAAATCTTTAAAAAAGAAGAAAATTAAGGCCATTTTTTTTCTGATTTTGAAAATGTCAGGGAACAAGAATTCCTGTGCCCCTCAAGGGTCCTTTCAGCTGGACTAAGAATCAAATTGACATGAGACCAACTAACAGGAGAAAATTCAGTTTAATAGCGTACACACAGGAAATCCACACGAACATGGAAATTATAGAGCTAGTCAGGCAAAACGAGGCATATGTGTCATTCTGAACTAAGGAGAAGGGGGTAGGGGTCGGGGAGTTGAGAGGAAAGGAATGCATATCACAGGGCAATAAGAACAGATGTTTGGGGATGCCCAGGTGGCTCAGTTGGTTAAGCATCTGCCAGGGTCCTGGGATCGAGTCCCTCACAGGGCTCCTTGCTCAGCGAGGAGCCTGCTTCTCCCTCTCCCTCTGCTGCTCCCCCTGCTTGTGCTCTTGCGCACTCTCTGTCTCTCTCACAAATAAATAAAATCTTTAAGAAGTAAAAAAAAGAAAAAGAACAGATGTTTGCCCTGCCATACCAATGGGTGACTCAGATAAAATTTATTTCTGCTCATAACCCTTATTTTGGACCCCTCCATCTAGATTCTTCTATGTAGTTAAGGCAAGGGTGAAAGTTTCTCTTCAGCTCAGAATAATCTCCATGTCACAGTGGCCCATCTTGGGGCAGCCTGCCCTTGGCCCCCTACAAAAATAACCCCTGCTCTTATAGAAAATGCGGGTAATGTGGAAAAGCGTGGTCACCTTCCTTGTGTCCCCCTTCCACAGATCTGTACTGCACCCTGGAGGTGGACTCCTTTGGTTATTTTGTGAATAAAGCCAAGACACGTGTTTATAGAGACACAGCGGAGCCCAACTGGAATGAGGTGAGGTACTTCTGGGCACGTCTTGCATGCTGGCCCTGGCAGGCAGGCCAGGATCTTGTCCTTGGGGAGAGTCTGAAACACCCCCCGCACTCTACCCGTAGGGTTCCCTGATGGCTTACCCCGTCCGCGCCCACCGCCCCAGCCCCCGCACAGGCGCTGCCACCAGCATTCCACCAGCATGCCGGGAATCTCCTGGGAGGAGAGGGGGGACTAGTCCAAGAGATTTTATCTCTGTTCCTGAGAATCCACCACCCCCCCAATCACAAAGAAACAGCCTATTTTGCTGGAGAAGCTTTTGGAAAAAGGAACTTAAAAGGGCTATTTGTGCTGCCTTTGTTATTGCTTAATGTTTACTTGGTAAGTTTCCGTAGTGTTTTTCCTCAGAAGTTGGAATGAGCCCTGTGATCCTCTTGGTTTCTGGAAGCCTGGGCTCTGCCAGCCGGGGCTGGCATAGGGACCCGATTTGCCTGTCCCCCGGGTGTTGGGTTTGTATAGTTTGCTGCTCTGTTCTCCTTCGCCTTGGAGAGCTGTTGTGTTAACTCGCTTACCATCTTGCCTTGAGCCTTTGGGAGTACGGGAATGATGACAGAGTGGCCAATATTGATGAAGTCCCCAGATCCGTGAGAATGCCATTTCCCAGTCTCTGGAGCAGCTGTGGCCCTCAAAGGCCTCATGCTTGAAGATATGGGTGGGGGCATACCTCCCACCCCCCTGCATATGCAGCAGCTAAGTCCCACCTGGCTGCCTGGTCCACCTCAAGTCGTGTGGCTCTCCTTTCTTGGTGTGCCCTACTCTGATCATCAGACTCGATGCATTAGTAGGACTGGGGCACGGGGAGCCCATAGGATTGCCCGGGCATGATAGCCCTGGGCGTCCCTGCAGAAAGGGTGGGGGCTGCCACGGCAAGGGAGCAGCACAGCCAGATGGAGCCACCAAAGGCTTTGCAGGGAGAAAGAGGGCCGTGACTGACAGGGGCAGTGAGGGAGGGGTCCTGGACACAGCACAAAGAGTTCGGGAGAGAGCCGGCTGTGGAGGCTCAAGGAACCAAGGCATGGAGGGTTCCAGACCAGCAGGTCCCCTGGTGGCCGGCCTGGGTGTGCATCTGGATCGTCCAGGGGTGTTGCATGTTCCTGGCATATGCGCCCTCCCCACCCCGATGCGGGCTCAGAAATCTCTCCTTTTTTCTTTTCTGTCACCCTCTTCCCATTTCCCCACCACAAACCTGTGCCTGCAACAGCACTGGTGTGAAATGCAGAATTTACTGAAGGTATCCTGGGATGATGGAGGAGAAAGTTAACACCACACATCCCACAGCAGACACCTCAAAAGCCTACAGGAACAGTTCTTTCCTCTCTCCTGTTATCACCTCCCTGGGTCGATTTTTTTTTCCCCCTTTCAAATAGACTGACTTTTTAGAGCAGCTTTAGGTCCAGAGCAGAAAGGACAGAGATTTCCCACATACCTGCTGTCGCCAAACATGCACAGCCTCCCCCACTAATCAGTGATCCTACACTGACACATCATTATCACCCAAAGTCCATAGAATATCTGCACTTGTAACCAGCACCTCTGAGCTTCTGATGTAGGTGGTGTGGGGACTGTCCTTTGACATTCTGGCTTAGGGAGTTTGGATTAGATGTTAGAGGCATTCAGAGCTTCCAGAAGCATCCAGACTGGGCCACAATGGGGTGCTCACAGGGAAGTAACCTCTGAGGGTCTTTGTCACAGGACTAAAGCGGAGAGGGTCTCGAGGCATGGGTTCGTGGGGCAGCAGGGAAGCCATTGGACCTGTCTGCTAATGAGACTTTCCTTCTTTCTTGGGACTTCAGGAATTTGAGATTGAGCTGGAAGGCTCCCAGACCTTGAGGATACTGTGCTATGAAAAGTGTTACAACAAAACGAAGATCACCAAGGAGGATGGCGAGAGCACAGACAGGATCATGGGGAAGGGCCAGGTCCAGGTGAGGCCACCACCCTCCTCTGCCCCCTGCAGAGCCCCTCTGCGCCCCCTCGTATACCTGCCCCTGGACCTGCCCACACCCTCCTCCAGATGTTCCCAGTTCTTTCCCCAGTTGACCTTCTGGGACACGGAGATGGCCTGGCTCCAGGGGTTGGGCGCAGGTGCCCCTGGACTTGCAAAGGGACCCTCACAGGTCTTTTCCTGCCCCTCTCTGTGTTTGAGTGTCTGTTATACCCCATCTTGTCCCCAAAGGAAGTTCAGTTCGGCTTGTTCTCACAGCAGGGGCCTCAGTTCCTCCATGGCCTTGTGTTTCCTGTGGCTCACCTGTGCAGTTCTGTGCCCCATTGGGGGGGAAGCCCTGATATCCATGTTCCTTACAGGCCTCTTACCAGACCCAGCCGAGCAGGTTCCTCCCTGCCCCGCTCTGGGGGTGGGCACTGACTGCTCCCACTCCTCTCCGACCCTTGGACCCTCGGGTAAAGCCCCCAGCAGAAGTGGGCTGGGCATTCCAGGTGTCCGTGGGAGAAGGGGGCTCTCCATGAAGCCCTTCCTCCCTTCTCTGAGGGCAGGAAGTAAAATCCTTTTGTGCTGAAATACTGAGTGAGCAGCAGGGATGAAGGAGGGGGAGGGTGACTCACTCCTGAGTAATTTTGTCTTCCTGGGGAGGGGGGCAGCACATGCTCATCCTTCAGAGGAGCAAGTCCTCACTTAGCAGGGGCTCCAGACCCCCTCTCTGTTTCACCAGGTTCTCAGGTTCTGGTTCCCCAGGTTTTCACCGCTGCCTAATTTCCCACCCTGGAAGCTTACTAGGGAATTCAGTGGCTCAGGGCCTCCAGGGACCCCCCTCCCACCCTGTACTTTGAGACCAGGTCTAAAAGCAAAAATGCTCCTCTGACTGCCTTGTACCTGCCCTCCCCGACCTGCCTTCCAGCAGACACCACCCCATACCCCGCACCTTCCCAGGAGAGCAGGCCCAGGGCCTCAGCCGCCCCCACAGACAGGACCTGGGGCTGGACTCTATTGAAGTCAGGGGTAGAACCGGCCTGGGGCAACACTCCAGTGAGTCCACTAAGGTTTGAGATGCACGTTGGGGATCAGTGGGGCAGCCTTACCTGGCATAGAGAAAGCAGGATTCTTGGCCCCTCTCTCAGATGGTGTAACTGGGGTGCAGGGGGTTCCCAAACAGACCAGGTTCAGCTACTCACCGCTGATAAAATCCAAAGGCAGAGAGACGAGAGATGGTGAGACAAGAAAGGGATTTACTTCAACGAGGCCACCACCGGGAAAACAGCAGGCTAGCGTCTCAAAGATGGTCTCCAAAGTGCTAAAAATACTTGCAGGCTTATAGAAGGAAAGTGTGGGACAGAGGTCGGTGGGTGCCTGCAGGTGGGCAGTGAAGGTCAGGTGGAGCATTGTCTTGGGGTCAGTCGCGTGGGGTCTTGCCGAATTCAGGGCAGTCCTTACTGCTTGAGGGGATAGCTTCGGTTCTCATCACGGGTTGCTTTGCCCTCAGGGTCTTTTGCCTGAGTTAACAGATAAGCTGGAAAAAAGAATGTAGTCAATGAGGAAGTGTGGACTGAGGTTGAGATGATGAAGGTGGTTGAAATCCTCTGTCAACGGGCATGGTCTTTGAGGGCCAGCTGCTGGTCCAGGGCCACCCGGTAGATGCCCTGGACCTGGGTCCTACCTGTGGCTTAGATGCTGAGGGAGAAGGGGATGGTTCCTCCTTGCTCCCCATCAGCCTCGTACACCATTGAGCCAGTTGTAGGGGTCTTGGTAGCAAAGGGCTTCTGAATAGAAGAAACAGAAATGCAAGCCAGTGCTTTTCAGCTGTTCCACTTTTGGGGTCCTATCCAGGGATCTTTGACAAGCCAGGTCCCTTCCCCAACCATGAGCTGGGCATGGGTCCCACCTTGACAGATGCATGTGCCCACTGCAAAGTGTGGACACTCACCATTCTGCAGCTCACGTGCATTGACTCCCCAGTGTCCTTGAGATCCAACCCCATATGTCCACATAGATCCCGTTCACCTTCGTGGCTTGATAGAGAATCCCAAGGATTGAGTCACCCACATCAAGGGGCTCTTCTGCTCTTAATGGACACTAAGGGGTTTCCCAGCTCTTGCTGTTCTGTGAGCAGCTGGTGCTGGACATCTTTGAGGACTGACATGTTTCGGCACCCAGTGGGCAACAGTCACAGCTCGGGCCCTTTGAGTTTTCAGGCTCTGCTCTGCTGCTCGACAGCTAATGTGTTCCCCTTGCGCCCCCTCCCCTCTCCCTCTCCACGTTTGCATCTGTCCCCAGCCCCGGCGTCCCTCCCGCACACCCATGCCCTGAACCCCGTCTTGCAGAGAGCCCCATGGCAAGCTAAGGATGCACATGGACTGGGTGTCCGGCTCCTTTTTTCAGTCCATCACACAAGACTAAGGGAGGCTCAGGGCGCCTGGGTGGCTCAGTTGGTTGGGCGACTGCCTTCGGCTCAGGTCATGGTCCTGGCGTCCCGGGATCGAGTCCCGCATCGGGCTCCCCGCTCAGCGGGGAGTCGGCTTCTCCCTCTGACCCTCTCCCCTCTCGTGCTCTCTCTCTCTCATTCTCTCTCTCAAATAAATAAAATCTTAAAAAAAAAGACTAAGGGAGGCTCGGATTCCACCGACCTTTGACTCGACTCATCCAAATCCTCCACTGCTAGAGTCCCAGTGGGGTGGTAAGATTTGGAACCAGGGCCTCTGAGCGCTGTCACTGGATAACCGGGTGGCTCAGTGGAAAAGCGAAAAGGAAGAGGGTACTCGTCCCCTTCTTTCATTCTGTCAGGCCCTCTCTGGAAACCCTTTGCCATGACACTACTGGATATGAACAAAATAGTCCTTTATGAGCACAGCCTGTGCTCTTAGACACACCAGGGGTGCCACGTGAGCACCCTGCCCTGTCCCGGGGAGGAGGAGAGCAGTGGGGTCGTGGGGGCTGGCTTGGGGCATCTCCGAGCTTCAGCTGTTCTCTGCCCCTTTCTGCCCTCTGACCCCAGTCTGCATTTCCCCATGCAGGCGCTCTGAGGGGTGCTCCTCAGCAAAAACACTCTCCCTTCCTGCTCCTTCCAATAGCACAAGATAGGACAGGAGCGGAGGACGTGGACTCCATTAAAAAAAAAAAAAAAAAGGAAATTGTACATGACCTTGTTAGAACGTCAAGGTTTGACTATATTCAGCAGGATACAGGTATAGGGACCACTGCAGTGGGGTTTTGCAGCAGGGGTGAGAGATGGAGCCCAACTCTGAATACGACAAGGAGAGAGGAGCGGGGTGTGGGGGATCATCGGTTGGAAGTTACTAAAGGGAAACATCAGGGGTAAGGGGGGATTCTGGCTAAACCAACCTAATGGGTTCCTTGCTGAAAGCAGGCTGGGGCAATCGGACATCACCCAGGGGTGGTGGGGAGCCAGGAGTCTGGTCACTTATCAAAGGTAATCAGCTATCAAAGATATCAGGGGGTGGTTCTTGCTAAAATTGGGTGCTTGGGGACATTCCCAAGAACGAGGTTTGGTTGGAAAACAACTCGGAGGAGCCTGACTGGTGTGGCCCAAGGGAGACCCTCTGTCCACTCCCTCAGCCCCAGTGCACCTCCTGTGAGCTGGGGCAAGTCGTCACTGCCCGGATAAACGTATTTCCTCACGTGTAAACTGGGGCCAGGGGCCATGGAGCCAGGCGCGGGGGTCTTCAGTGGCCACTGCTGCTATATCACTCGGTGTCGTTACTGTTGGTGGAGAAGGCGGACTCTGGTTCCACCCTGTCATCTGGGTCTGCTTCCATGGAAGAGCTAAGTGAGTGGGAAGTCTGGCCGCTGAGCCATCATTAGCCAGGAAGGAATCCCAGCATGACACAAGGTCCGTTTGTGACTCACACAGAGTAGGCAGTGGCTGGCCCTGCCCCTGGAGACCCCCATTCCCGGTGGAGCCTGTTTATGAGCTGGCATCCCCAGGAGCAAGAAGGCAGGAAGTCAGAGGAGGAGCGGTGATGGCCCCCTGTGGCCCCAGCCAGGCCTCCTTCCGCCTCCCCCAACCCCCCACCCCCGACACTGGGGCACACCTAAGGGAGGGCGTCCATGACTCTGAGTGGGGGCTTTTCCCAACAATATCAGGCCCCTTCCAAGTATGCCATGTGGGAGGGACATAGAGCCCTGCCTGTCCTGTTGCTGGGGTCAGGGTGGGGGCATGGGAATAGCATGGCCTTCCTCCCTCCCCCAAGTGCTTCCCACCCCCCCACCCAATATGTACATTGACTCATAAGCTGAGTGTAAAGCCCTTCCTGTGAGGTGGGGAAGGTGCAGCACCCCAGGAGTGTCTACGGGGGGCCAGGGAGAAGTCTACGGCTGACCAGGAGGGCAGAGGCCAGGCAGGCCCCTCCGAGGGGCCAGGGATGGAAATCCAAGTCTCCAGCAAAGCTGCTCACACACCTGCCTGGGCAGAAGGCATCAGAGTCATCTGCGGAGCTAGGTCCCAATTTCCTGGGGCTAGATCAGTCTGTCTTCACTCCTCTGCATGGTACTGATGAGCTAAGGGTTCGGAAACCACCAGTCTGAGTCTCAGGTTACAGCCTTTGCTCTTCAGGTGACTGGCCAGATCCCCACTTCCCCTCCTCAACGATCGTGAGAGGAGGATGGAGGGCTCCCCCTCCCAAACGCAGGATGGGTGAGTTGGTTTGTTCAGAGCATCAGGCCATACTAGACAGAAAGGCAGAAGGATATAGTGTATATATGTCCCCAAGTGCCCAATTTTAGCAAGAACCACCCCCTGATATCTTTGATAGCTGATTACCTTTGATAAGTGACCAGACTCCTGGCTCCCCACCACCCCTGGGTGATGTCCGATTGCCCCAGCCTGCTTTCAGCAAGGAACCCATTAGGTTGGTTTAGCCAGAATCCCCCCTTACCCCTGATGTTTCCCTTTAGTAACTTCCAACCGATGATCCCCCACACCCCGCTCCTTGGCTATAAATTCCCTCTCTCCTT